AAAAAAAAAAAACATTCGAATTTGAGAATTTTCAAAGTAAATTTGATTTTTTTTTTTTTTTGATTTAATTTATTCAGTTTTTTGCTTTGAATAAAGATTTTTTGAATTGCGAAACAACAATGGTTGGTTGGTTGTTTGTTTCAAGTTTTGTTTATAATTACGGACGTCGGTGGTCCCATTTGATGATGATGAATGAATCGATGAATCAAAAAGGACAATCTTTTCCCTGTGTTTGTTTGTTTTTTGCGCAAGAAAATGCAAATCAAAATGAAAAAGAAAGATGTTTGAATTTCAAAAGTTCGGCATCTTTATGATATTTCTGTTTGTTTCTGGTTTCTCCAAATGAGTATATATATTTTACATAATTTTTACATTTCAAATTGATTTCAATGTTTCTTCTTTCCATCTTCATCATCTGATTATCATCATCAGCGATCGCCGAAATGACCACACAATTTTTGCTCGGCTTGTGTTTATTTTTTGGCATTCAATTGGCCTCATTGACATTGAATGTATGAGTGAGTGAATGATGATTATTTTTCAAAGCTAATCAATTATATGACCACAAAACTCTAATTCTCTCTTCTTTGCTTTCTCTATGCATATTCACCCAGAATGAATGTCACTGCTGTAATCACACAAAACAAAAAAAATCCATTTTAAAATGATGAAATTTGAACAGAAAAAATTCATTCCATAAGGGGTCATCCATGATGGTGTTCATCATTTTGGCCACCAATGGATTTTCTTCGATATTTTTTTCTGCAAAAAAAAAGTACATCATTGCGAAACGATGATGATGAGAAAGAATTTTGTTTTAAAAAAAAGTGAAGGGGGTATTATTTATTAATAATATCAGGATTATTAATTAAACATTTTTGTTTCCAAGCTTAGCATCTCTCCTTCCATTCGTTCGATCGGGTTAACTCATCAATAATTTTTTTCGTTTCGTTTCGTTTGTTCTTTTCGTGTTTTTTTTCTTGTTGTTTTTACTGATTGAATTGAATTTGATTTAAAAAATTATTATTCAATTTTTTCTTCTTCGTTGAAATTATGAAATATTAATGAATTTTTTCTCTCTCTCTCTGATTTGGCTGATTTGATTAATTGAATGTTTGGTTTTTTTTTTTGAAAAAAAAAATGATTTTTGTTTTTTCATGGTCAACGAACGCCATCTTGTGGTTTGCGGTTTAATTTTTTGGAATTTGGTTTTTGAAATTTTTTTTTGTTTTTGAAAATTTCAATTTCCAATGATAACGTTATCTATGAAAAGTGATTGGATTTTTTTTGTTTTTTTGAAAAAAAATTGAGTTCCGAATTTTTTTTTTGTTTTCGAATTTTTCGAGTTTGACTTTTTTGTTTTGTCTTGATCTTCTCGAATTTCTTTTTTGTTTTTTTTTTTGGAAGTTTTTTCTTCTCTGAAATTTAATCTAATTTAATAATGATGAATTACACAGATAGTGTATGTTTTTGTTTGTTTTTTGAAACTTTTCTAATCATTTTTTTTCTTCTCTCGATTTCTTTCCATTTGACACATACAGGTATATTATGCAAAAAAGAAACGTAGAGCAGCACAACAAGCTCAAAATGATGGTAATAATCATCATAGTAGTCAAAATGATTGGTCATCGAATGGTAATAATGGAACTATTGGCGGTAATAATCAAACAAATACGAATACTATTGGTAGTAATAATCAACAACAACAACAAAATAAAAAAGAACGAAGATTATATAATGATGGTTATGATGATGAATTTAATGATTATATAATAAGACCGGGTGAAAAATTTGTTGATCGTTATGAAATTGAATCATTAATTGGTAAAGGTTCATTTGGTCAAGTTGTGAAAGCATATGATCATTCATCACAATGTCATGTTGGTATAAAAATTATTAAAAATCGTAAACCATTCCTAAATCAAGCTGCAACTGAAATTAAATTATTAAAATTGATGAACAATTATGAATGTAATGGTACATCATTACAATTGGGAAAGGAAAAAATTGTAAAACTAAAAGATTATTTTATGTGGCGTAATCATCTTTGTCTAGTCTTTGAATTATTATCATATAACCTTTATGATCTTTTAAGGAATACAAATTTTCGTGGTGTTTCATTGAATCTAACAAGGAAATTTGCTCATCAAATGTGTACAGCATTAATGTTTTTATCGGATCAACATTTATCCATAATACATTGTGACCTTAAACCGGAAAATATTTTACTTTGTAGTCCAAAAAGAAGTGCCATCAAGATTATTGATTTTGGTAGTAGTTGTCAGCTTGGTAAACGAGTAAGTTTTTGTTTTTGTTTTGTTTTGTTTTGTGTTTCTCATATTTAATTATCCTGATCATCATTTATAGTTATATCAATATATTCAAAGCCGTTTTTATCGATCACCAGAAGTATTACTTGGTATACCATATGATATGTCAATCGATATGTGGTCATTAAGTTGTATATTGGTTGAAATGCATACTGGTGAACCATTATTTCCAGGTTCAAATGAAACTGATCAAATGAATAAAATTGTTGAAGTTTTAGGATTACCACCAAAACATATGCTTATGCAAGGTAATCGTACATTTAAATATTTTGATCAATTGGCTGATGGTTCAACTGTTTTGAAACCTGTTGATGGAATGAAGGTTTGTTTCAAATTTTGATTGATTTTTGGTTGAAATCTAATATTTTTTTTCCACCCCAAATTGACTAAATAAAACAGTATAAATTACCTGGTAGTCGTAAATTATCCGATATATTAGGTGTTGAAACAGGTGGTCCTGGTGGTCGTCGTCTTGGTGAACCTGGTCATTCAATGGCTGATTATCTTAAATTTAAAGATCTGATAATGAGAATGCTGGATTATGATCCAAAAACAAGAATAACACCACGACAAGCATTACAGCATTCATTTTTTCGTCGTACAACCGATGGTAGTACAAATACAACAACAAATATGAATGATATGATGACAACAGCAACAAGAACTACATCAATATCAAGTGATTCAAATTCATTTCATATGGCATCAACATCTGGAACTAATAATAATAATAATAGTACAATGATTAGTTTGATGGATTCACATTCTACACAGCCATCGATTTTGGATACATCATCATCATCCATATCGTCGTTTCAAAGACAACAAACTATTCAACAACAATTAGATTGTATGTGTATACATTTTTTTTGGATTCAAATGAAATTTTAACATGATTTTTTTTCTTTTCTTCACTTGATAAATAGTATTAAGCCAACAACATCATCATAATCGTCGCTATCATCATGTTGATCATCCATATTCATTATCATCAGCTAATACAATGAATAATATATCGAAATTATCAACTACTACCACCAATACCACTGTCAATGATAAAATAAATCATGATCCAGATATTATTTTGGAACAGACAAAAACACTGCCACAACCAACAACAATGATTGTTCCATTGACAAACAATACGAATACTACTGGTGGTGATATATTTCGAATGGATATTACGAATCATAATAATACAATGACCAATACGGATTTTATACCGATGTTGATTGCGGCGAATAATAATAATAATAATTCATCTGCAACATTTCCATTATCAACATCATCTGTAACATTGTTCCAGCAGCAACAGCAACAGGCAAACAAACATTTAATTTTTCAACAACCTCATCAACAACAACAACAACAAACACCATTTATGATGATGGCAACAACACCAACAGATCCTTCAAGTACAACATCATCAACAACGGCCACTTCATTTATTGTCCTAAATCCTCATACATCATCACATCATTTATTACAACATCATCATCATCATCATACATCATCTGAATCATCATCGGATGGTTCATCTGGTGGTGGTGGTGGTATTATACCTGTTACAAATAATTCGATTACCTGTCTTGCCACCACCACCACCACCACCGTCGATGATCAATCGTTAGTTTCACAATCAACATCATCACAACCACATAGTGAACAAATGTTTCCAATTTTATGATGATTTGATCATCCGATCCATTTGATATCATCATCATTGATAATAATGTGATTCGGATGATGTATATGACACTCACTAGACACACTAAAACACAAATTACGATTCATATTTTGCCCCCATAAATTCAGTGCAATATCATCAAATTCTTATATCACCTTCCTTTTTTCCCCCTAATTCTATGATGGAAACAAATCTTGTGCTGGTTCACAAAATGATGACAAAAAAAGATAGGGAAAGAAAAACAAAACAAAACAAAAAAATCAAAATGCCAATTCAAACTCCCCACCTTTAGAGTACTACTTGTGTTTGACCTTATATATTTTTTTTTTGTCTACTCTAAACATCAAACAAACCCCCGAAATCTATTTTAACCTAACCTTAGAATTTTTCATTTCATTTTTTTTTTTGCAAATGATGACCTTTATTAGTTAATATATATTCTGGTCTATCACTAATAACAACATATAAATATAAATAATGGTATACATGGTAGGTGATGGGTTTTTTTATTTTATTTGAAAATGGTGGAAATTTGATCAACACATTTGATCCACCACTCTATAAATGAAAAGCTTATCCGATTTAAAAAAATGATCTCAAAACAAAACAAAAAACAAAAATTATTCATTTTTTTATATATTTTTTCTTCTTCTTAATCAATCAAATACACCCATAATCATTATTCATTATCATCATTATCATATGCGATATAATTGCTTAACAAACAAACAAACATTCAATTTATATTCATAAACACACACCAAACATACTTATATTTAATTTGATTTAAATTTATTTTAATATTATTATTAATATTGATTATTTTGTGTTTGTAATTCGGGTGAGGAATTATTAATTAATTAATTATTATTATAAATTCATTTTTTTTTTGTTTGATTTGAATTTGATTGATGAAATTTACAAAATTACAAAAACAAAAACAACAAAAATAATGAAGGATGCGAGCAATGAATTAAAAAAAGCATCGGAAATGAATTTTAAAAAAAATTTCGTTCGATTCGATATATCGATTGTTTTCGTTTTTTTTCTATGATTCGTTCATCATCATCGACGGATATGATGTTTATAAACAATGACAAACCACCAAACAATCGATTTGTACAAAAATTCTTTTGGTTCATTTTCTGTATTTTCATAATCACATCACCCCGGTGTTATATTATCATTTTCATACATAACACACCTTGTTCAATTCAAAAAACAAAAAGAAAACATTCAAAATAATCGAATCCATCTGTCTTTCCTTTACAAAACAAAACAAAATAAAAAAAATCAATAGACAACCATCATCATCAATCATTATAATCATTATTTTAACAAACAAAGAATTCGGTACAAAAATATTTGATTTGTATTTCTTGCAAAATTGATAAATGGAAATAAATTTTTTTTTCAAATTAAAAACGAGCCTTTTTTGAAATTTTTATTTGGTAACGTTTTATATGAACGAGTCATGTTTTTTTTTGTCGTTCGGAAAGGAAATTCGTTCGAATGTTCGAAACATTCGAAATTCATTTCTTATTGTTCGAATCGAATATGAACATCGAAACAAATATTATCTATTGTGATCGTTGTCATCCATCAGCATTGGTAAATGGTAATCCACCAACATTGAATGGTGATTATTATTTTACTAAATGTGGTAAAATATTTTGTAAAACATGTATAACGACAAGAAGTGAATGTAATAATTGTGGTACGAATTGTGCAAGTAAAATTATCGATAAACATATGAACATTGAAATGGCAATCTATTTTCGTGATTATCAACAGCTAAGTAAAACATTGAATTCGGTATATCTTTTTCAAATGAAAAGATGTCGACAAAGTATACAATATCTATTGAAAGCGAATGATAAAATGAAAAAATCATTAGCCGAAAGAGCTGCTATTCGATCAAGAATTGAAGAAAAAGATCGTGAAATTGAACAATTGGAACGTCAATTGAATGAATTGGAACGAGAACAGCAACAACAACAGCAAAATACTCAACTACAACAACAATCTCAACAATTTGTAAAACCAAATGATTCATTTATGGCTACATTTATGCATCATGTTGATCAACAAGTGGAAAATCCTCAATTAGCAACCAATATTGATCATCATCATCAACAACAATTAGATTTCAATGTAGATCCTATTGTTGATACGGGTTTTCATCATCCTCATCATCATCGCCATTCATATCAATCAAATTTGCCTGGCACACAATTATCATCATCACGTTCACATAGTCGATATATTAGTCCAAGTATAATAAGTCGTGGTTCGGATAAAAGTTCAACAATCGGTTTAGCATATCCAATACGAAGAGATCAACATAAATCTCAACAAATACCGGTACCGCCACCGATACCACCAATGCCACCATCATTACCACCAATCAGAATTCAATCAACATCATCAAGTCAACATAGTAGTCGTAATAATAATAATTTACGTTCAACAACAGCATACATTCAAACATCACAATGGAATCGATCACATTTATCATTTCGTTGAAATCAAAAATCAAAATTACATTAATTTAATTTAATTATCGATAATAATTGTGCGTAAAAAAAAGAATTTCACTATAAAAGTGACTAATAATAATAATGGATTAATTTTTTTTTGTTTCGTTAATTAAATTTCAGGTATCAAAATGAATTGAATAAATGAATAATGTTTAAATATTTTTGTTTTGTATTTTAAAGATAGGTTATAGAAAATCAAATCTTCGCCGTACACGATTGATACGTTTGATACTGGATGATGATGATGATGATTGTAAAGAATTTGATCTAACCATTGATGATGATGAAGATGATGACGTTGATGATGATGGTGTATCATTATTTTGAAAATCAGGTGTTAATCCAATACCACTATCATTGATTGTTCTATTCAAATCTTTTGAACGTAAATTATATGGTGGATTTGGTGAATAATAAAATGATTTATGTGATTCGGTTGATCTTAATACACGATTTATTATTCCTGTTGATGACTCTTCATGGTTATTATTTACTTTTGGTATTGGACTCATTAATCCACGTAAACATTTTGTAAATGGTGATTCATTTGGTTTAGGTCGAGGACTTATTGTTGTCGTCGAAGTTGAATCATTATTATCATTCAATAATGATCGTTTTACAGCACGTTTTGGTGGTGTTTTTGGTATTAATTTTTCCCATTGACGACGGCCACGTTTTCGTATGATTTGTTCTTCGAAATTTGGTGGTGGTTTACTTGTTTCAAGATTTCTTGTTCGTACTTTTGTAAAAAAAACATTTCAATTTAAAACTTTGTAAAAAAAATTTATAACAAAAAAAAACTTACAAACACGTCTCATTAAAATTGGATGATTATTTAAAGTTTCATCGGCTGACAATTCATCATCACCAACATTATTATCATCATCAAATGATTGTTCATTACGTTCCATAATGAATGATTAGCGGTTTCACCAGAAACGTTTCGGGATTGTTTATTTTCGTTAAAACAAATCAAAAAGTCGAAAAATTATTGGTCGAAAAAATTGTTGAAAATTCAATGATTATTCCATAATATTCCACACGGATAACAAACAAAAAAGTATCGATAATTTAAATGTCCTCAGGTCAAAGGCAATAAGTCGCCGTGGTCGTCGATGATGATGAGTTAAATGATCGATAACATTAAATGCACGAAAAACACGTAAAACACACACGGAGGACAAAAGCCAGAAAAAGCGCGCGCGCTAAACATTTTTAGCATATCACAATGCTACTACCCCACAATCTCTCGAAAGTCTGTTCACCTTACTTCGGTCAATGCTATTCGAACAAAAATCGGCAGTTTTTCTTCTGCTCAAAATAATTTGGCGCGATTTTTGTTGGCACGCACAACAAAGCAAGCACACACACATTGAGAAAAGCTTTCCCGCGTATTTTTTAATTCCTCTTTTGAAAAAATGATGGCGCGGTAATTTGAAAAATGAAATGAAATGTAAGATCCAATTTTGGAAATCCATCCACCCCTCCCACTTATTAAAGGTCAAACACTTTTGGAAAACACAAAGGTTATAAATTCGATGTCACAGATTTAGTCGAAAAACAAAAATCAAAATTTTACTTTTCTTTTGTCGAATCGTTTTGATGTTTTTTTGAATTCAAATGTTTTGCAATCGGATTTTTCGCTATCTTTTACTGTTGCTGGTGTTATCATCATGGAATCTGATCAATGGCCAGGCTCCATATGAATATTCTTATGATGAATCAACCGTTGATTCAAGCAATGATTTAATTAATCCATTCATACAAACATCATTGGAAAATGTACAATTATTTAAAACAAAAGTTTTTAAATTGATTGAAGCACAAAATCAATATTTTGAATTAATACAACAAAAACGACCGGTTGTTGGTGATTATGAATGTAATTAAAATTTTCAAACTTTGAAACTTTTCAATTTTAATTCGATTTTTTCCCTCAATCACACACACAGATGTTAAATTTGATGTACTTTTACCTGATCACGAATATCGTTTACAATTGATGGATAATCAACGTTTGATTTCGGTACCGGAACCAAATTTACCTGTCAACAATAGTCAATTGTTAATATCGATAGATTCCCGTACACAGCAATTAAATGTTTGGCAATTTGTATCGGATTCAATGGTCATTTTCATTGATAAATATCGTATTGGACAAACAGCCATGTTTGTTGTCGGTGGTGGTGGTGGTGGTGATCATCTTGATGATCATCAATGTATCAAACTAAAATCATTTATAATTCGTACTGGACGACAAAAATATCGTCTGAAAGTTGTTGCTCTATTCCGGCATAAAAATCAACCATTTTCCATTGGTTTGGGTGATTTTCTTTTGGTTCTTTCGTTGAATTTTATCGTACAACAACCATCATCATCGTCATGGGCAAACAATATCGTTTTGCAAACAAACTTTATCGAAGAACAAGTAATCAAATTCGAACGTATACCGGATTTTGATATTTTGTATTATTCACGTTCGCAAATCTATCTTAGTTTAATACAATCATCCGAAGATTCTAATTATAAATTTGAATTAAGTGTTTATCATTTGATAAATGATAAAATTTTCGATAAAATTGCATGGCAAATATCGGATTATATTTTGAATGCAAATCATGTAAAATTGGCTACAATGGATCAATCGATTTATCTAATCTGTTCGTATAATCATCAGATGTCCAGATCATCAAGATCATCGATTGACATCGACCATCGTCATAATGATAATTTTCTGAATGTTTTCAAATTAATTGAACATGTTGATCATCACCATAAAGATGATGATCATTATGGATCATATCGTTTACAATTTATATCTTCGGTAAATAACCAAACCCGATTTGATAATGAACCACAATCTATACATCATCTAACGGGTAATAATGATTTTATATTCCTTGTAAAATTGAATGATATTGATGTTTATTGGTGGGATGGTAATTCATTACTTTATTATGATACAATTGTTGATGATTATGGTCACCAATATGCAAATCATAAATGGATACGATCATTTGCATTAGCAAAACTTCTGGATCAACCACCATTAATAATGTCTACGAATGGAAAATCATTAAATCTTTATTATAAAATTTATTCAAAATTTATACATAATCAGCTGGATTTATTGATTGATTGGAATCAGAATTACCTTGATCAGATAGAAATTTTTACATCGAATCGTCAATATTTTGTTTGGTTAAAATTTGTTACCGATAACAATGACGATGATCAACCAAAATATTATTGTCAATTTGCCCGAGTAAAATCACGTCAACCCGAATCAAATGAACAGATTTATAACCTTGATACATGTTTAATGGATTTACGTGAACGTATTGATCGTGGCTTGCAAACCGTACAAACATTGAAACAAAAATCTGAAAATTTATTAGTAATTTCATCCGAACAACCATATATTGATGTTGATGTTGATATTGATACAATGGAAATTAATCATTTGATTCCAGAACAAGTTTCACTACGAATACCTAAAGGTAAAATAACTAAAAGTGATCGTGTTGTTATATTTTTAGACAGTATTGATGCACGTATTGATCATCTGGAAAATCGTATTAATCAAACTGTTATGCTAAAATCATCGGATCAATCAATATCATCACCGATTGAATTTTATTATCCAATTCGAACAGAATCATTACAGATATCATCAGTAGAATCACATTTCTATCTAAATGATATAAATTTTGATTTATATTCAAATGGATCATTAACCATTGATGGTGATCAGGTGATTGAAATTCCATTTCGTTTTACAAATGGTTTACAAATCGATCGTTTAAATGTTCAACAAATCAATGGAATACCAATGAAATGGGCAATGTTAACAACCATTGATTCTTCAACACAATTCATAGCTTCGAATGTTCGTCATCATTATTATTCAATGGAATTATTTAATGGAACTACAGCCACTCGGATTAATGATGTACGTTTGATTGATCTTTATCAAGATCGATCATATGCAATACAATTAATACGTGGACGGAAAACATTTGCCAACATGACGGTCCAGCAGATTGTTGTTGATACCAATGTAAACAATAGGAATTTTCATAATTTTTTATCGAAAATTTTATGGTTAGAAAATCCAGAAATTACCGTGCAGCAATTACAAGGTGATGGTTGGATTTTTAGTGGTGAAAAATTGTTGGTAAAAAATCTTACGATTTTGAATCAAATTAATGAAAAGATTAATTTTGAAGATTTTGTCAACAATACCGGTCGGTTGAACAATCTAGAAATGTTGACGATAAAAACACCATTAACATTTCAGAATCCAATCCATTTAAATGGCAATTTGATTGTCAAAGGTCAAATAAATGGATTAAATCTTAATGAAGATATTTTGCTTACAAAAGGTGATCAAGATTTTACCCGAAAACATTTTGATCACAGACCTTTAATGTTTCAATCATCAACATCGACAAAATTTCAAAATTTAACCATTGAATTATTGAATAATCGTTTTCGTCCGGAACAATTTTTGTTGCGTCGAAGACCATCACCAACATCGATGGCTAATAAAGTTTATTTACGTCGAAAATATTTCAATAATGATCTATACGTACAAGGTTATGTTAATGTACAACCAAATTCATTAACAAATAATGTTGATTTATCGGATATTTATTTTAAATTGGATACAATGGTATCGATGAGTACACCGGTCATAGCTAAACAGATTGTTATCGGCCAGGCAATGTTTACAAATTATTTTAATCAATTTGATTGGCTTTATGTACGACAGAAATTATCGAATGTTCTGTTACGAAACAAACCGCAAACATTTTCAATTCCATTAACATATAATGGACCATTGAGTGTTTCAAATTTAACATTTAATTATTATGGTGGGAATAATCATTTAAGATTTCCTGAAGATTTTATCAATCAAAATGATAATACTAGTGATATTATTATTTCGGGTTCGAAATATTTTCAACAACCAATATCGGTTGAAAATATTCATTTTGGCCAGAATGGATCGGTGAATGGTATACGTATTGGACAACATTTTAAATCTTTAGTTCATTTGAATGGTGATGAAAATATTGCTGGTCGAAAAACATTTCATAATCTAGTGATCAAAGGTAACTTGTATGTTGGTGATCGTAGAATTAGTGGCCATAATTTAAATGGTACTATCGATATAAGTGATGATGCACCGATGCAAACTATTACTAGTCCATTATGGTTTACGAATGTTATTGTTGAACATGATTTTCGTGTTAAAGGTTAGTTTCTTTTTTTGCTTTCGTTCTTTGATAAGTGAATGTTTTTTTCTCTCCAAAAAAAGCTTTAACCATAAATCGTACAATCAATGGTGTTAATTATGAACGATTTTGGTCGGATTCAATACAGAAACCCATCGGTCAAGGATATCCAATAATTCAATTATATAATAAACATTTTCCTGATGGTATCGATGTTGAATCGATACAAATAATCAATGGTACTATCGATAGTATCTATATTGATCGATTAATGTATTGGGCAATCCTATTGAATTCCACGCAAACAATCGGTTCATCGTTGTATTTTATGAATGCAACATTTGAAAATATTGATAAATTTCGTACGATTAATCGTTTGGATCGAACATATTTTGAACAAGTTGTACGAAAAGATTCGGATGTTGTACATATTTATTTAGCCGGCGGCGGTGGTAATCTTGAATCAATATTGGGAAATTGGAATGTAACATATCTTTCTTTCGTTGATGATGGTGGAACCATTAATGGTTATGATATTATCGATATTAATCGTCGTACATTGAAAAAATTATCAATAAATGGTTCACAAAATATTACTGGTCGTCATGTTTTTCTTAAACCATTATCGATAATGAATCTTATGTTACCAATCGATTTGGTTCGTATTAATCAGATTCCAATTCGTAATTATGTTTGGCTCAATCAACCAACATTAATGTAAGTGAAGCATTGAATTTGAATTCATGAATTTGATCGATGTTGTTGTTTGTTTGTTTATTTCCTTACAGATTCAATACTGATATTATATTTGAAAATCTTTATCAAATCACAAATCTTCATGTTATTGGTTTAATTAATCGTTGTTATTTTGATCATTTGATTGAAACATCAATCAAACGACAAACATCAAATGATAATCATAATGGTGTAATGTTTAATTTGACTGGCGAATATCATTTACCAAAATTAATTATTCGTGGTAATGCAAGATTTTTATCCAAAATTAATGATCGTAATAATTTTTTATCAAATTTGATTAACGACGATGGTCAACGACCTGTACGTAGTGAATTACATTTTGTTGAAGATATAACTGTTGGTCGTATTTATATTAATAATCTAATTAATCAACGTAATCTATCCGTATTATTAATGGATGCTGTTGTTATTGATCGACCACAAGAAATAACCGGTAGAAAAATATTTCGAAATCCATTAAAAATTCAAGGTAATATTGATCAAGCTAAAGGACGTAGATTATTGATAAATGATGATGGTCATTTTAACCGTCTCAATTTAACTGATTTGTTTCGAAATGTTGTTCGCGTTAATGATACAAGATCAATTTATGGAAATAAAATCTTTACCGGTAATATTACGTTTGGTAGATCAATTAAAGTACGAGAAACTTTGAATGGAATACGATTTCCCGATGAATTTGTTCTTACCTATACAAATGAAACGATTAACAGTCAAGCAAATTTTAATCGTAAAGTTCGAATTCATCGAAATTTAAATGCACAATTAATTAATCATATTAATGTTACACGATTCGTTCATAATGGCATCCTAATTAATGATAATAATCCACGCCAAGTATTGTCTACTGTACGATTTAAACATCCTATTCGAATACGTAACCTTACTGTTTATCATCGTATCAATGATATTCCAGTTGATGATCTGATTTTTAAATCTTCATTACCGAAACGCGCTGATCCAATACAAATAACGGGTAAAAAATTCTTCAAAGATCCATTAATTATTGAAGGTCGTTTAAATGTTCGTACAAATTTAATTAATAATGTTGATCTTTATCGTGATATTCGTGATCAATGGATTGATCGACGAACTACTGCAATGACGAAGAATCGATCAATGATTAATGGTAAATTAATATTCGAACAACCGATTCAAGTTGGAACAATGCGTATCAATCAAACATTAAATGGTGTACCTGTTCAAATGTTTGAAAAACATTTGCAACAAATGGAACATGATATTGGTCATTATCGTAATCAAGTTGAACGATCATTACGTCAGATGAATTATGATGAACAAATGATTAGTGAAAATTTTACATCAAATTTCGTTAATGATATAAGATATTTTCGTTTACATCAAACATTACCCGGTGCTATTCATAATTTCTATCCAATTACAATAGATGGCCATAATATGATTGCAATGATTACTAATGATGATCATTTAATTGGTGACGATCAATCCATCCATACAAATGCTGAATGTCATTCACATCGATCCGGTTATTATTATCTTGACCGGCAATCCGGTTTATTACGTGATAGTACTAGATTTTGGCTTAATATTTCAATTCAAGCTATTCAATCATCATTAAATCCACAATTATTAATATTGATTATTTCGAAATCATTACCGTGTGATAAACTTGCTAATGTTGAACGATCATATCATGTACAATTTCTAAATACATTTGAATTTTTATCATCAATGTCAAGCGATCAATTGGATGAAAATTTATTGAAAAAAAATCTGTATCGATTACCTGATAAAATGGGTCATCATATTCATTCGGCTCGTTTATTTACAATTTTCAATCAAAATTATTTATTAATTTATTATCGTTGGACAAAATGGCTCCGATCAAAACCCGGTGAAATTCATCTATTCAAATATAATGAAAGTTATTTTGGTGAAATGCTCAACAACAATCTGATTGAACAAGTTTGGCATTATGATCTATATGAATTTTCTGATACAATTTTATTATCGATTATTATTGGTGGTGATGGTTCAAATCAAACAATGGCCATTTATTATTGGAACAATCATTTTGAACATTTTGAACCATATGTTTTACGACCAACCATTGCATCAGATCATTATTCTTTTACTCGAATCATACCATTACCTGAACGATTATTAATCCTTTATTCGAAATCATCAAATAATTGCCATAATCAAATGTTTGGTACATCATCATCAAATACATTCAACAATATTGAACTATATCAATTGATTCGTACAAATAATGGAACATTATTATCATTGGATCATTATCAACAATTGAATACGATGATCAAAACAATCCAACAAATTCATATCATACAAACTGATCCATCATTAACCTATCTAATAATATCATCATCATCATCTTTGGTACAAATATATCGATATGATGGTAATAAAATTCTATTTCGAGAAAAATTGAAATTTCGTATACCAAAACCAATCACTCAAATCAATCATTATCAGATTAATGATAATAATCTTTATCTAACAATTGGTTCAAATCAATATTCAGCAATGATTCTTTCAGCTGTCATATCTGGTCGATTATCGAGCAACAGCAATAACAATGTATCGATCAATCGTACAATCGTTTCATTGCTTTAATAATTTTTGTTTAGTTTTTTCTTTCAAGTTTTTTTTAGTTTTGTAAATCATGAATCAATAAAATTGTTTATTTGTTTGTTTTTTAATATATAATTATCAAAAAAAAGTAGAATCAAAAAAAGAGAAAAAAATCGCGATAATATAAAAAAGCTGAATGTATATGGTTGCGTGAGTTCATTTAAAATGAATGAATGAATGATGATATGTACATTGTGATGATAATAAAAATGGAAATAAAAATATACATGTGTAAAGAGGTTGTGATGCTGTAAAAAAACAAAAACAAAAAAAAAAATTCGTACATTAATCGTTCAAAATCTCCATGGGGGCCCTATTTTGAAAACAGCAAAAAAAATGAATTAATATTAAATTCAAATAAAATTATGATTACACAAGAATTAACTTACGTTCACCTTTATGACGTATTTTGGCCATCGATTGTTTTCGTCGTTGTTGTTGTTGTTGTTGTCCAAAACGATAATCAAATGTTGATGTTGATATAAATGTTGGCTGTGATTGAAACCAATCATATTTGCCCATTGGACGATTGTTAATTGTTGTTTGAAAGGCACTTGTTCGTGGATTGATTTTATTATCATAAACTTTCATTGATAAGGGTGCAACACGATTAATACTACTACGACGACGTTGTTGTGCTTGTTGAATAATTCGTTTAGGATCCCAAACATTTCGATTATCTTCTTTTTCCTCTTCTTCCCAATTACGATCTTTATTTTCTTCTTCTTGTATTCTTGATAATCGTCCTAGCTGTGCTTGGTTTACTGAACTTTGTTTACGTTGTTGACGAGATGATGATAATGGTATTGGTCCAAATTTACGTTCATATTCAGCCTGTAATTTAGCTGTCCAACTAGTATCAATTTCACGACGCCATGGATATGGTTCATTATCTAATTTAATAAATACACCTTGAGTTGGATAAATTTGTCGTACAGGTGTATCAGATTCTTGTGTTGATGCAACTAAATGATATGATTCTGCCAGGTATTTGAATCGTTGTCTAGCTGCTTCACGTAACATTTCATCACTAGATTGACGTATAAGTTTTCGAAATTCTTCCAATGTAATATTATGTCCACGATCACCAAACATATCACGTGGAACAATTACTTTACCAACGCATTCTTTTTTCGGTACAAGATTTACATCTTTTACTTTGTATATGAAATATTTTTCCTCTTCATTTTCATCACCACGTAATGAATATTTACGATCAAGTGATTCACCCGAATCATTTGTTGATAAATCTTCATTCGTTTCATCATTTTGATCATTAGCTGCCAATGATAAAGTAGAATAACGACCATTTGCCATTGGACGTAATGATGATCGTCGTCGTTGTCGATGTCTACCACCACCACTAATTTTGTTAACTGGAGTTGGTGAAATTGGTTGAATTAATTCCCAATCTTCATTATAATCAACAACAATCGGTTTAGGTGTTTCAATTTTTTCCGATTGATTAGTTTTCGATGAAGTTGTTATTGTTGGTCGTTGATCTTCGGGCAAATTAAGTGTCTGTTTATTACCATCGCCAGTGATACCAACAGATAAAGATGGTGATGAGACCTGATTTTGATTTACAGAACTAGAATCGTCCTCTTTTATCGTTGGTTCCTCTGTAATAGTAATGAGTGATGTTGGAACCATTGTTGTAATCTCCGTTTTCACTAACGTTTCGTTGTCGGGAACGTCGATCATTGTTTGTTGTTGTTGGTGCTGTTCTTTCTGTTCTTGTTGATGACCATCCATTATCATTGATTGTTGATTTGTTTGAACTAATAAAGTTTCGACGTTGTTGTTGTTGTTGTTGTAATTGTGAATGATGATGACCATTATAATTAATAATTTTTTTAGTCAAAGGTTGTCTACCATGATTATTATTACTAATACGGCTTTTACTCCTATGTCTACTAAGACTACTATTTTGACTACTAATACTACTATTACTACTACAAAAGCCACTACTTGATGTTATACCTGTTATTGTTGGTTCCGGTGCAATTCCAGAAGAAATTCCCGGTGATGGATAACGTGATTTATTCGATGCTGATGATATAAATCGATTCATTTGTTGTACTTTTAAAGCTTGATTTTTTAATGCTTTTTCATAGATCATTTCAATTGAACGACCATTACCAACAAAAGCATGTGGTGATGATTGTTGTTGACCAGATCGATATGAATCATGTGAACTACCTGAACTTAATGGATGACCATTATTATAATCTTTATTGTTCAACATAAAAACATCATCTTGATGTATAGGACGAACACTTTGTTGATCATCAGCCATTTTATCAATTTGTTGTTGTTGTTGTTTTATTATTGTTGTATCATGTATAATTTCTATCGATGTGCGAATCAGAAAAAAAAACACAGAGTTAAATAATAAAATTAAAAAAACAAAAATACTTACTTCGATAATAACAAATGGCAAATAAAATGATAAAACCAAAAACCAATAAAGTATTAACAAACAAAATTAAAATCCAAACCAATGATTTATTGGAAAAATTTTGTTCATTTTCTTTATCATCTATAAATGGATCAACGGTTGTTGATGATGAATGTCTATTTGAATTTGATTTAATACGAGTTCGATGTGGTTTTAACGGGCGAATAGTGGTTGTAGCTCGAGCATTTTGACTACTACTACCTAAATATTCTACTTCTTCATCTTCTTTATATTCGGTTTCAGTTGTGGACAACGTTGTTGTTGATGATAAAGATTCATCGGATTTTCGTTTTTCAACAATACGATTAGTTGAATTTGTTTTCTTGTTCGAATCCAATTGTTTTGTTGTTGTTGTTTTACGATGAAATCCCATACCAAAATGAACTTTGTTCGTTCTTGAACCAGGACGAATTGATGGTGAAATAGGTGGCGGTGGTGGTGGTGGCACGTATAATGGTTTATCATCAACAAAGATTTGTTTAATTTTCAATAATAATTCACCCGAATAAATAAATGTCATATTGATTAAACGTTGACGTAATTGTTGTTGTTGAAATTGGACAAAATTTTCATAATATCTGTTGAATTGTTCTTGAATTGAATTCGATTGCGACGATGTTGATGGCTTGATTGTAGCTGTCGTCGATGATGTTCGATCCAAATTATGTAACATCGAAACATTTTTTGATTGAAATAATATCTGTAAACATTGTGTACCATTAATATGAAAATTATTATCCTGTATAAAATCATGCAGCAATTTTTGTGGATTATTTTCATTGGTAAATGTCCATTCTCTTGTGGCCATCAATTGTCGACGTTCATTTCGATGATTAGCTGAATTTTGCATAGCAACAAGTGTTTTTATTACCGGTGGTATCATATCGGTTGCTGTTGTTGCTGCACGATTTGTTAGAAAATTTATTAGGAAAATATTCAATTTTTCCATATTTAAATTACATAAATAATCAATAAATCTTGATACAGGTATATGATGATGACCACCACCACCTATAACCTGTTGATTATTACGATCGATAACAATTGATGCTTGTAGATTGATACGAATTGAATGACATTTTTCAGTTGTCCATACAAAATGAACATCATTGTTGTTGTTGTTACTGCTGTCGTTGTTGTTATTGCTGGTATCATTAATCATTGATTTTTGTTCAGATAAATCAATCGAAGGCCGAACATTAAATGGACCAAATGTTGTTTCGATTGTATAACAAGCTGGATTTGAACGTAAAGTTATTTTCAATAAATAACGATAACCCCATTTTGTAATTTTAAGATTATCAAAAATAAAACGAAAATAAACATTTGGTAAACGATCATGATGATGACCATAATGATGATGATTATTATGTTGTTGTTGTTGATGATGATGTGCCGATTCAACCGGTACAGATGTTTGTCCAGTTAAAATACCCGGATAAATTTCCGGATACAATAAACTAACCGATGCTGACCATTTATATTTCTGTCGATTGATTGAATGATCAAAAAGGGATTAATATTAAAATTTTTGAATCAAAAAATTCAAAAAAAAAACAAACCTTAAGAACTAAATCAAAATATTGTGCATTTGAAGCTAAATTTTTTGATTCTAATTTTAGATAAAATTCTAATGGTTCGAGCGTTTCTTTTTCCATTGGTTCAAATTCTTGATTCTTTGGACGTGTTAAAATTAATTTCAATGTTGGATGATTAATAATTAAACCATTATGTGTCAGTACATGTTTCGATGATTCAATACAAGTTTTTTTTGTTCCAATATCGGCTATATTTATTTGTGATTGACCCGACGACGATGATGATGATGATGATATTGATTGACCACCATTATTTCCTGTCATCATTGATGATGCAAGTGAATAATGATTATTAGCTGCTGCTGCTGCAGCTTGATTTGTATTAAAATTTGACGAAGAATTCATTATATTATGATTATCTAAATGTATAATACATTTTGGTCGAATATTTTCAATCACCATTAATTCGGGATATAATTCCAGCTGATTACGATTCAATTTATAACGATTTTTACGATTCATAATTCGTTCATTATAATGATTTGATGATGATGATGATGATGTATGAGGTTTTGTTTGGCACATTCGTATACAATTTATATTCGATCCTGGATTGTTTGAAAAAGATTGTTCATTTGTTGTTGATGTTTCATTAATCATTATTGTTGGTAATGTATCATGAAGTATTTCCCAAATTGATGATGAAATTGATTGATAAAATTGACCATTTCGTATCGATGATCGTTGTTGACCAATATTTTTATTCGAAAACAAAGGAATTTGTTTGACTGTCAAACTTAATTGACATCGATCATCAAGTAAATTCTATCGAATTGAAAATCAAAATAACCGAATTAAGACAAAATACAAACAGAAAAAGAAAGCAAGGTTTTTCATTCATTCATTTAACTTACAAATTTCAAAACAGTCATACCACAAAATTGTTCTTTTTGATACATTGTTGAATGACGAAAAATTGATGAAAAATGATGAGTTGTAAAGGTAAATCTAATTCAATTCAAATCAAAATTAAAAAAGCAAAATTAAAATTCGGAAATGGCAAAAATGGAAAAAACCCAACAAAAACTTACAGAACACATTGAAATTGAGGTCCGTACACTAGATGGCAGCTAACGTTAAATGTATTTGTAGATAAATCGAATATCGATGATTTTGTTGATAATAATTGTGTTTGAAGCATTTGTCGACAATTGCCGTCACCATTATCATTACCATTACCATCGTTATTATCATTACCATTATCAACATTGGTCATCGATTCATTCAATGATGATGAAGAAGAATCGAGAACAAATGATTTTTGATGATGATTTGTTGTTGCTGATGATGATGAATAAATTCGTAGATAAAGTTCTAAATGTTCCGTTTCAATTACAATACGTTGTTCCATGATTGGTCGTAATGATGATGATGATGTTTGATTTAATTTTAAATCATATGAAATTAATTGATTACAATGATTTAATTCCATATCATTATTATCATTAAATGGATATGAACGTATACGATCAATCAAACGTATCGATAATATTGATGATTCGGATTTTAAACGATTCATTTTAATCATTTGATCATTATCATCGGATTCTTGATCCATTTCATCATCATTATCATCGTTATAATCGATTGAATCCTGGTCATCATCGTCGATTGATCGAACAATTAAAGAATCATCAAATGATTCGAATGGAATGGCAGTATTATTTATCGATAGTATCGATTGTTTTGTCGAATGATTCGAATTTTGTTGATGAGCGGATCTTTGGATTATTGATTGTTCACTTGCTGCAAAAATATTATCTTTATTCGATGATTTCAAGGAATTTCTCCCTGTTTGTAACGTATGAAATGGACGAAAAAATTTTCGTTGATAATATGGTCTTGAAGATCTTGTCGACGATGATGTCCATGAAGTTGGCGATACCAAAGCAGCAGCAGCAGCTGAAGAAGCCGAAGAAGCAAATCTTAAATTTGATGATGTTGGCAGTGATTGAAATGTTTTTGGATCTGTTTTGAAAAACAAAACAATGAGTAAGTAATGAGAAAAACAAAACCATAATGAGATTATAATCATTCATTTTCATTTTCATCAGATTAAGAAACTGAAGATGAAGAAGAAGAAATTGAATTCATTTCATTTTGTGGCCATGTAATGGAAAAAACCTCAAATACAAGAAAAAGGGTCAAATTAGTGAAAAAAAATTGGCCTTATAATCATCATAATCATCATTTTTTTCACTCAGGTAAGCTTTTTTTGTATTATGAGATTTTTCGTTGTTGTTTTCATTTGAAAATTGTTAGCTCGCGCGCCCGTGTGTGAATCTTGTCACAATTTTTTCTTGTTCACTTGGCTGTTGACCAAAAAGATTTTCTTTTTTGTTGTTGGAGAAAGCAACAAGCCAATGATTATTGAATGATCATTTTTTTCCAGAGTTAGCTTTTCATTTTATCAAATTAGTGATGAGAGATTGACTGGCCAATTTGTTTTTCGGAATTTTTTTGTTGTTGTTTTTTTTTTCACACACACAAACCAGTAACAACAACAACAACAACCTATTATCAACGAAGTGAACGGTGACAATTTCGATTGATCCAACAAAAGTGGGTTATCATCTTGTGTATCATCATCGAATGGGTTATATTTTTAACAAGCAAACGAACGAAAATTCAAATTTAAACTAACTAACGAAGCAACACAATATATGGGGTGATAAAGTTTTTTTTTCATTTGAAATTGGCTCAATTCGTTACTGGTATGTTTTTATTTTCTTTAAAAAAAGGATCACATCATTATCATTATCTTTTATTGTTATATCCAACAACAGAAATGGAAAGAAATGTGTTTGTCCACATCTTCATCATTATCAGCAATATATATTGATGCGGATCAAAAAGATGTAAAACGTGATTTGGATGTTCTTTTTTAAAAAAAGAAGAAATCCGACAAATCATCATCAGCGAGAAAAAAAAGATGTTAATGAATGAATGTGGACAACGACGAGAAAAAAGAAAATAAATGTATTCTAAAATTGGCTCCAACAATCAATCAGTCAAAATCAAAATCAATCAGTCAGTCAGTCAGTTAATCAACGAAAAGAATGATCATCATTAACACACAAAAAAAATCCACTTTTCTCTGAATCCAGTTTTAATTGTTTATATCGAACCAGAAAAAATGAATGAATTGGAAATTGAAAAATCTTTGAAGAATGAATGAATGAATGAAGACATCTCTCTTTTATCGAAGAATATTGTGGCTGTTTGCATGAAAATTTATTGTTGTTGTTCGACATGATGATGATGAACATTGAATGACTTAATCATCTATTGTTTAATCGATCGATCAATCTATTGATCAACTACTGATTGATTGATTGATTGATTTGCTACTGATTTTTTGTTGTTGTTGTTGTATGAATACAATGGACATGAAAAAAAACTTGTTGTTGTTGTTGTTGTTAAGGGTTAATTAGAAAAAAAAAATTTTGACCACATTTAATCAATTAGAAACCGAACGAAAAACAATTACAATGTTGTTGTTGAAATTACAATGTTTTTCATTTGTTTCCACCAAAAAAAAAAATGATGATGATTTATGGGAATTTTTTCATTTTCCCGAAAATATTTCCTTTGGGGATTATATCCGGGAAATATATTGTTTTTCTTTCTTTGTTTCGTTTTTTTTTCTAACGGAATTGGTTATATAATTCAATTTTGAAAAAGAAAAAAAAACGACAACAAACAACTACGGAAAATGTAGGTGTAGGTGCGTGTGTGATATGTGTGGTTTATTAGCATCTCCGTATAATTGATTTAAAAAAACAACAGAAATGGTCATCATTAAATAATGATGCTTAGCAAGTGAGATGAGAGATGGGCAAATTATTTGGGCGAAAAAACACAATCGTCATCATCGTAATCAAAATGATCCATATAAGTGGTAATATTTACTTTCACATCCTGTTTTTCCCGAAATAGTTTTTCGGCCAATCCCATCATCATTATTACCTGGATGATGATGATGACCATAATGATCATCATCATCCCTCAGGTAAACAATGAATGATGATCGATGAGAGATTTTAAGAAATTTTTTTAAAACAAAGACAAAAAACAATCCAAAATGATGACCATCATTTTGTTTTGAATAACCGAAATCAATATTGATTTTTTTTGGTTGCTTGGACAAATTTTTTTTCAATTCGAATCGAATTGAAATTTATTTGTTTTTCGCTTTTCGTTTTGGAATTCAGGATTTGATATGGGAAAAAACAGAAACACAAAAAAAGTTGCAAAAAATCAATCAATCAAATCAAAGATTCCAAATTTAGAAATGCTGATAAATCAAGAAATGAAAAATTCCTGTTGTTTTTTTTCGATTTGAAAATTTCAAATCGAAAAAAGGGCGTCACACAGTGTTAACACACACTAACACACCCGCAAAATATTGACCTCGATTTTTTTTAAACTTATTACACGTGATCAATATTATTAACATCATCAAGATTAAGGATTGATGAATTATTGTTCATTTCGGCTCTCTGGTCTCTTGTTAATCCTGTAATTAATTAATGATGTTTTAATTGAAATGATCCTTGAACTTGATCCAAACATCAATCGTTTGAAAAAAAAATAGGTAGGGAACATTTGTTATAGTTTGAATTCAATCGATTATCGATCAATCAATCAATCAATCGATTATCGATCGATTTTGTTTGGTTATTTTTTACAGGAAAAAAAAATAAATGGATGTCATCAACATAATTGACCACTTTTTGGGGTGATGGTGATGGTGACAATAATCGATTGTCGAATTTTTTTTTTCTTTTGTCCATCTCTTTCTCTTTCTCCTATCACTCACTTGCTCACTTAAATCACTATCGATTGTTTGAATCGAATGTTTGTTCGATCGAATGTTTGGTGAAAAAGAAGAATAAATATTGACTACTTACATTGACCACCACCATTATGATGATGATGATGATGATAAGATGATATTGATGGTTGATTTGAATTTGAATTTGAATGAATAAACAAGGATGATAATGTTGATGATGTCGATGATGATGATGGACTACATGAACAATGATGATCACAAAAAATGGCCAACATCATCATCAATGAAACCATTATCGACGATAACATTGATGATGATGATGATGAAGAAAAAGATGGCCTAAAAGCTTGTTGTTGTTGATGATAATAATGGTAATGGTCATCATCATACATTATCAATGGTCGATTTGATGATGACCGATTTATCGATGATGATAAAGATGTCACCATTAAAGGTGATTTTTGTTGTTGTCCATCATTTGTTGTTGTTGCTGGAGTGGACAATAATTTTTCCGCACAATATGGCCTTAGATCATTATCATCATCTAACGATGATAATTTTCGTGGTAAAAAATTTAATTCATTAATTCGATTATCATCATGTTGATCATCACAATGGTTTGTTCTATTATTCATCATAATCAACACTTTCGTTAACATCAGGGTTAAATTATTATTATTATCACTTGTTTTTCTACGTTTATGTTTTGGTTGTTGGACATGAAATATTTGTTGTTGTTTTGGTTGTTGTTGATCATCATCCAGATAAAAATGATTCTGATCAACTAGATAGCTGCTGTATTTATAATCATCATCTTCATTTGACAGTTGATATTTAGATGACCATGGTGGTGGTGGCCAAATCGTGATTATCATTATCGATGATGATTCTGATTGATTTTGAATTGATTTGGCTGAAGAAGATGCGTCGTCGTTGTCGACGGATGCAGATGATCGATGTCCATTTTCATTATCATCACTATCACTATCATCATCATTTTGTTGTTGTTGTTTATTGATCATTTTTTAATAGACTTTCTGGGTGATCACTTCACTTCACTTCACTTCAGTTGAATTTTGACCAAAAAACAGGAATTAATCCTGTATAGAATACTGCAGGATTAATAAAAACTTTTATAGACAGGCAGTGTGTGTGTGTGGTTTTTCAATTCAATTAATGTATGAACATTATCCGTGTCTGGTCAGAAATCTAGGTCAGGAATTTCAAAAAAAGAAAAACAGAAAAAGAATCATGAATATTGATTGGGGGCAACAAGTGTTATTAAGGAATTTTTCTTGAAATTTTTTTTGGTTTTCTGGAAAAATTCTTGGCATTTTTTCAATGTCATGCATAATGATATAGAAAAAAAATATCATCAGATTGGTGGTCGTGTCATGTCATGTGTGTGTGGCCCTTTTATCAATCATTGTCAATGTCAAATCGACAGCGACTAATACGATTATCTTTAATTATTTTTTTGATTTTACGTCTTCGACGTTACGAAGAATTTTTTTCTCTGACAAAAGATAATTGATAATAGTCGTCGTCGTCGTATGTCGTAATCGATACGAACGAAAATCTAATTGATTGATTGATTGATTGATTGACAGTTTATTTCAACGAAAAAAAGTTTTTTGTCTAGAGAAAAAAACAAAGATCAATATCACGATTATAATCGATTGATTAATTGATTTTTTCTTTTTTTTCGATTACTTGTCTCGTGTAAACACCATCAACATTTTGTTGTTGACTTTCGTAAACTTTCTTGTAACTTTCTTTGAAATTTTTCTTGCACCAAACTTACACAACAGCAACCAGCGCCGATTATATCATTTTTTAGATAAGAAAACTTTTCGGAAAACAAACCAACCGAATGATCATTTTTTTGGATCAAATTTTTTTTCCCGAAAAAAAGTAGTGTTTTTCCAGTGCGAATAAGGAACTGACTCTGAATGATTATTTTTTTTTTTTTTTTCGTTTTGTTTGACTCGTATGACCGAACACTTTAAACACACTCATTTCAAAGAAGAAACGAAACGAAACGACAAAAAAATGAAACAATGCCATTTTGGCTTATGAATTTTGATATTTAAAGAAGGAGGAAAAACGACCATCATCATCATCATTATGATCATCATCATCTTGGAGCTTAAGAGTTTAATCGTTGACAATCACAATCATATAATAACCAAAACAAACAAACAAACTAACAGCAGTAGCAGAGATCATATATCCAGGTGAACCGGGCAGTTTTTTTTTGGAAAAAATTATTGCACGTCACTTTTGTTTGTTCGGTCGTTTCAAGACGAAAATCGGATAAAATCCGATTTACGAAAACAAAGACAAGAGAGAGAGAGAGAGAGAGAGAGAGAGAGAGAGAGAGAGAGGGAGAGAGAGAGAAAAGATAATAATAATCGTCATTATCATCAACAGCCAGCAAAACNACAAACTAACAGCAGTAGCAGAGATCATATATCCAGGTGAACCGGGCAGTTTTTTTTTGGAAAAATTATTGCACGTCACTTTTGTTTGTTCGGTCGTTTCAAGACGAAAATCGGATAAAATCCGATTTACGAAAACAAAGACAAGAGAGAGAGAGAGAGAGAGAGAGAGAGAGAGAGGGAGAGAGAGAGAAAAGATAATAATAATCGTCATTATCATCAACAGCCAGCAAAACTGAAAAAAGTGTGAATTTTTTTTTCGTTTTGTTTGTCAAAATAAATCAAAAACTTGAAAAAATCAAAAAAAAAAATTTGGCCAAAAACAAAAAAAAAGTTTTCAAAAAAAACAAACAAAACAAAACAAAATGGACAAAATGGACTTTGAAGATATTTGTTTCTTCTCCTTAAAAGTTATGTTTCTGAAAAGTTTCTCTGCGAACAATCTCTATTTGCTCCGGTGACCTATTCTATTTTATTGTCATCAACAACAACAAGAGCAGCGAAGAACATCCGCAAGTTGAACAAAAAAAGCTTTCAAGCAAAATTTAATTGATTTATACTTTGTTGTTGTCGTCGGTGTTGTTGTCATTTCATTCATATTTTTATGTTTTAGTGTTTACATTGAAATTTTTTTACAAAAATACAAAAAACTGTGTGTGAATATCATCACCGTTGAGATAATTTGATTGAATTTCGTTGAATTTTCAATCAAAAAAGTTTCTCATCATTATTGGAGTGATTCAAGTCTTCCGGATTGAAAAAAAATGGAAAAAATCGATATTGATCATCATCCGGACAGAAGCCGGTAAATTGGATCGAATATCGAATTGACCAATGATGATTTGATTGATGATGGATTGACCACTGATGATTTGATCATCAGTGGTCAATCTGAAGATGATAATGATGGTTGATGATGATGATTGTGGTATACTATTATCAACAATCATCAAATATGATTTGTAAATTGGAAATTTGGACTTTGAATTCGATTAACGCGAGAACAAAACAAACAAAATGCCATTACCATTATCATCAAAAACAATCTTCAAGTAAACGAAAACAAACAAGAAAGTGAAAATATGCATTACGCCCAAAAAAAATCAGTATGAAGTGTATTTAGTGTTTTTATGGCCGAAAACAATGAATGAATGAAAACTTGAATAATAAAAGTGTTAAATGATGATAATAAAAGAAGTTTACAAGTATCGCATATTATCTCTTAGTTTTTTTTTGCCTTTCTCAACAACTATTTCTATACCTTTGATGAAATATTATGGTCATCTTTGATGAATCTTATCGATTTCAGTCGAAATAGAATATATTTGTTTATTTTTTGGAAATTGAAGAAGTAAACGATTGTTTCAAGTACACCCTATCCACACTAAAACAACAAGAATTTAGGTCAACAATCTCACACTGTGTGTGTAGGTGTGTAGGTGTGTTTTGCCACTATTAACACTAACGCACACACACACACACACACATCTTGCATGTATAAATCATCATCATCAAAAGGTAGCAAAAAATAAAAAATATTACAATGAATGAAAAAAAATACTGAAACTGAAAGAAATTAATTTATTTTCCATTATAAATTTATTCATGAAATTGAGATTATATTTCAAAAACAAAAAAAAACAATCATAAAGAATTATGGATTCTTGAAAATGATTTTTGCTGGAAAAAAAAATGAGAGTTTATTGAAAATAAAATCGGGTAATATCATATTCTAAGCAAGAATATTCAGTTTCAGTTGATGATGATAGTTTTTTTTGTCGGTTATTACATGGTTTAAATTATTCACCAAAATAATTTTTTTTTTGTTTTTTTTGTTTTTCGGGAAATTATTATATCACCAACAACAACAACATTTTAAATAAATAATTTGATTGGATAATAAAAGTGTTTGTGGGTGGGTCGATGGATGTGTGAGGGGGGAAACAGAACTTGGGGAAAACAATCATATACCACTCCCATTTTTAATTTTGGAGCAAAAAAAAAAAAAAATTACTTACCCAAAGTAGAAAAAAAATTGATTGATTGATTTTTATTGGACAATCACATTGATCGCAGTGGGTGTGTTTGTGGGTGTAAACAATGAACACTTCTTTTTTTTCGAATTAACACAGATATTGAACAGAACAGATTTTTTGAGAGGGGGTGAAAAAACAACCCTTTTCTTCCCACAAAATAAATAAATAAAAAAAACCGCAGATAAAAAAAATTGGATCCACAAAAAAATGACGAAAAAAAAAACAAAATTTTTCGGATAAAAAAAGAAAACACTGACTGACTTGAACTGAAACTGACCAGAAACATGGACTTATTCACGACAAATGACTATAACCATATGATCATTGGATTTTCATTTTCATCGGCAAAAATTGTCTTTCATTTACGCCAACTATAAACAGACGCCACTAGTTTTTTTTTGGAAATTTCTCTTTTCCCAGTTTTCTTTTCAAACTTCTGTTGCCCACCATTCATTTACACACACACACACAGAGAAAGAGAAAACTTTTTCTTCTTCCAGAAAGAGATTGGGCGAGCGCCCAATTCAATTCAGTTGGAGAAAAACAAAAAAAAAAGAAGAAAAATTTTTCGCTACTCTGTTTTGGATCCATATTACATTTGCAAAATATGTTTTTCTTTTCTTTGTTTGTTTGTTTGGTCCAGTTTTTTTTTGTTGATGACATTTTTCATTTGATGAAATTTTGAATTTTGAAAAATCACATTTTCGATATTGATTTTCTTTTTTCAGTTTGGTTAGTTTTTTTTGCCGAATTGAAATATTCATTTTGATTTGATTTGATTTGAATGACCATTTCAACCTTGACCATTTTGAATATTTTTTTGATGGTTAAGTTAATTGAATAATTTTTTTGGTCGAAAAAGTTTTTTTTAAAAAAAAATCTAGAACACCTGACCATCATGTAATTACAACCAGGTAATTTCCACAAAAAAAACATCCGAAATTAATTTTTCCACCAAAAAAAATTCAAAGTTTACATTTACATGATGATTATGGTTATAAATGGTCACTCAGGGTTAATGTTTGATGCGACATTTTTTTAGAAAAAAAAACTTAATTTTTTTAGGTTTGTTCCGTTCACACACAGACAAAGATGCTGATGATTGTTTCGTTTTCCCAGTAAAACAACAAAACAACCAGATTCATAATAATCATCATGTTTTTTTGTTTTACAGGGTGATTACATCATGATGATGAGGTTATAATGATTTTTCTTTGACGAAAAAAAAACAATCAAAAAACGAAGAAGAAGAAAAATGACACTATGTAAATCTACTGAAAATTGGGACAACAACAACCATTTAAAATATCTGTAACACACTATTCGACTATTTACACACAATTAGGTAATGAAAAAAAAACAGCACAGCTAACTTTTTTTAAAAAAACAACCAAATTGGAGTAAAAAAATTGGTTCAGATGCGCGATGATGATCCTTGTAATCATCATTGAAACATTGTTCACATTCAATGATCATCATGCTGATGATGATAATGGATTTTCGATTTTCTCGATTGTTGAATGGCGTTGGATTTTGGCGTTTGGTGGCGAAAATCCTTTCACAATGTTCTTAATCCACACAGTTCGTGTCGTAATCATTAAAAAAAAAATAAACCATAATCATCAATGGATTGATTGAAAAAAAAAACATTTTGACAGGTGATGATTTTCGCCTGATGATGATAATGATGAATCGAAGTACGAACGAAAAGAACGAATGAAAATTAGCCACCACCACCAACATTGATCTGATCTGATCTGATGATGATTTGATGATGCAAAAGTCAGAAGCTTATCGATTTTAAAGTGCGGATATGAATTTTGTTTTGTTGTTGTTGTTTCAATGAGAAAATTGATCCGATTGTTATCCGAATGATAATCCTCATTCAACACGTAGTTTCCATTAATTTAAATTGTTTTGTTTTTTTCCAATCGATTTTCTGTTGTTGTTTTTGTTTCGAAAATTGTTTCCAAAAACTCCTACGCTAATTATTATGTGTTTCCACAAACAAAACAAAAAAAAAATTCTTCCTTTTCGAGAAACTTTCTTTGAAATGAAAAAATTCAAACATTTCCTTTTTGATTTCTCAAAAACTTTCTCCACTACTAAGATAAGATATATTCTTTTTTTTATCTTAATGAATGTTTGTTTGTTTGTTATTTGATATTTAAGATTTTCATTTCGTTTGTTTTTGTTGGGAGAAAAGAAGAAGGCTATCTATCTTTGCTGATGATTAAATGATTAAATCACATAGAAACAAACACAGAAAACACAAGATGATGGCCAACAGAAAAAAAATATGATATGATATCAATCCATCCATCAACAAATACATCAAGGGCTTGTAGATTTGTTCGTTCAAATGTTTTGGGCGTAAGTTTTGTTGTTGTTTGTTTGCTTGTTTGTTTGGAAAAAAGGGCTACTATACTTGAAACAATGTTGTTGTTTGAATTAATTTCTTTCATTCATTTTTTGATTCATTTGAAAATACGTAATTTTGTCATCATCATTATCATTAGAGATCAGTAGACTTTATTCTCTCTCTCTCTCTCTCTCTCTCTCTCTCTCTCTCTCTTTCTTTTTTGTCTACAAAGGCTGAATATTTGTTGTTGTTGTTGTTGTTGTTGTTGTTGTTGTTGTTTGAATTAATTTCTTTTTTGATTATCATTTTGTTGTTCATTTGAAAATACGTAATTTTGTCATCATTATCATCATCATTAGAGATCAGTAGACTTTATTCTCTCTCTCTCTCTCTCTCTCTCTCTCTCTCTCTCTCTCTTTCTTTTTTGTCTACAAAGGCTGAATATTTGTTGTTGTTGTTGTTGTTGTTGTTGTTGTTGTTGTTGTTGTTGTTATGTCAACACGTGCATGTATAATGCGTGTTAATGATGTTAACAACAACAACAACAAGGTAATAATGACATTGAAACTTTACTTTTGAACTAAACTGAACTACTGACTGGATTTGGATTTTGGATTTTGGTGAGAAAAGTAATTAAAAATTTCACAGCGAGAGAGAAAGCAAAATCTTTTTTAATTCGTCCTACAATTTTTTTTTTTCGTTTTTGAATTAGCAAACAGAATTTTGATGAATTCGCCGATAATGTGTCAAATAGAAAGAAACTTTCCGGAAATCAAAATCATCAATTTCCCTGAAAATAAAACAAAAAATTAGTGACATTTCCTGTGTGTGTGTATGTGAGTCATTATGATTGAACAAAAGCAAAAATTATGGATCAAATATCATTAGTGTTTGAAGAATAATGAAACAACAACAACAAAAAAAACAAGATAGGTAGAAATAGTGAAACAATTACAAAAAACAAAAAACAAAAGATAGGCAAGCAGGCAGGGTGCTAATTACATTCACAATGCAATAATTGGAGCATAACCCCATTATATTCATTGTGTGTGTGTTTGTAATGTAATATTTCGCTCTCTCTCTCTCTCTCTCTCTCTCTCTTCAGATATTCCTATGGTTGATATGGTGAATCGACAATGATGACGGCGACAAATGATTTTCTTTTCTTCATAGAATAGAAGAATATTCTGTAGGAATTCTGTGTATGTTTGGGAATGGTAGCACGTAATTCAAGCAACTATAACCTGACAAAATATTTTGATAACTGAAAACGGACGAAAATGAATCTAAATCTGATGATGATATTTGTGTTTCTCCATTCCATTCTGTATGGGCGTCTTGTTTTTCGTTTCGTTGTTTTATTGCGAAAAGAACAAGCAGAAAAACATTCTTTTTTTTCATTGGTTTCATTTGTCCCATTAATTTGAAAATTTAGTTAGGTTTCTGTGTGGGGTTCGGTTTTGAATTGTATTATCTGATGATGATGGTAGTTAGTGGTTAATAATAATTACAATAGATTAAACTAAATTCATTTTTCTTTCTTTCTTTCTTTCACTGGGTTAAATGCAATAAGCTTCTGGATGAGTAATGGGAAAGGGTTAAATGCTGTTGGTGGTGGTGGTGGTGAGGGATTAATTCAAAATGATTTTTTTTTTGAAAGAAGGGGGGCCAAACATTACAACAAACAAAAACGTTATTTATGAATGGGCAACATTTTTTGCTAGATCAATTGATAATGGAGATGGAGAAATGATACTTATTAATAACCAGAAAATACCGAAAAAAACAAAACAAACCAGCTAATCATTGACATCATCAATCACAATTTTCGGTTATTAGGGTTTTTTGGTATTTTCGGTTTTCGGTTATTAGGTTTTTGTTGTTGTTTGTTTGTTTGTTGTTGGCCAAAATAGAAATATTTTCTATCTTCTTTCGGCTTTTCATAGATGACATATTTTTTTTAATCAGATCAGATCAGATCAAATCGATATCAATCGAAGGATTCCAAAATAATCTATTTCGACCTAATTAGTATCTGTATGTTCAATATATTGTTAAATTGTCTATTTAGACATCAATCCATATTGATCGATTTTGTTTGTATATTTCAATTTTCCAAAAAAAAACTCTTTGATTATCGATATTAATCCTGATTGATATAAATAAAAAAAAATGTTTTTACTTGTCTCTTTTCGTCTCTTGTCTTTCGTCTCTTTTATCGAATGACATTGATCGATTACATTCAGCAGCTGGTCAGTCAGGCATAATCATTATCAAAAAATGAACGAAAAACGAACGAACGAAGAAACTTTGATGATCATTATCTTAAAGTTTGACTTATTTTAGATAGATTTGGTGGCTATCTGTGTGGTAATAGTGGTGGTGGTGGCTATTTCGATACAACCGTTGTAAATATATTACGAAAAAAAAAACATTTACATTTACGGCGACCTTCGATCCTATTTCAACTGAAACGAAACTGATTTCAATTTCAATTTGGCCAAATTGAATTGAAAATTCATCCATTAAACATTTTTCTTTATCATCAAGTTTGTCTACTTGACTGACTTACTGACTGTCATTTGTAATGCAAATTCCCCCGAAAAAAAAATCGAAATTTTCTTTTAAAAATAATGCTTTTCTTGGTTATGACGACAGAACATTTGATGGTCATCCAAAAATTGATATGCATCATATAACCGGCATTATCATTTTGTTGATCATCATTTTGGAACACGCGATCCAACAACAAATGTATCTTTTTTTTCAATTGACAGACAAAAGTTTTCTGTAGAAAAAAAAAACATTTTTCTATTGTCATTTATCTTTTAAAGAAAAAAAGGAGTGCGAAAATGTTTATTGTGATGATCTTGTGTAAGCATTTTGCTGAATGATTTTTTTCAAAGAAAAAAATTTGAATCAAAAAATAGATTAGATTAGCTGTAGTGGTGAATAGCTTTTCCACAATAATTACGTTATATATGATTAGGACCAAATGATGATGATTATGATTAGGTCAAATCGGGTCACACACACACACACACATAGACAATATATGTGGAAATAGGGATTAATTGTAAATTCTATGCACATATTCTGACTGGCTGATTCTATGGCTCCAAATTCAACCTCCTCTCTCTCTCTCTCTACCCGTATCATCATCAACAGCAGCCACCAGAATAAATGAATGATATAAATCTAGGCTAATAATGTCATTGCTTGATTCTGTAGAACAGCAGCAGAATTTATTATTATTATTATTGTTGTTGTTTCGTTTTTCACAGAATCTAATCCAATTATTCTGTATACAGAATTTATTTCCTGGTCGGGTTATTATTATATTCATTTACAATTGATGATGATGATGATGGATTATTATATAACCGACTACGTTGTTACCACCATACATGAATGAAGAAATGTTGCCAGAAAAAAAAATAAACCAAACATGGGTGGCTAAATATTGATCTAATGAATGAATGGAGGAAAAAAAAATTCTTCAATCCTGGAAACTTTCCGAGAAATTTTTGTTTTCCGGAAATTTTTTTTTACGAAATTATTGGTAACGATAGAAAAAAAACAAGGTTAAAAAAATGATGAAATGATTTTTGCTGTGTGTTTCTTCTGTGTGTATGGTATGTATGTTTATTTCTCTTTGGGTGACATAGCAGATTATTTATAGCCATCACCACCACCACCACCCGACATCCACCCGAAACTATTTCCATCCTGCCATCCCGTTATCCTAAAAAATGACAAGGATTTTCACCCACCCAGACACCAAACATCAACAATCATAACCACTTCTTCTTCTCAAACCAGACACCAAGACACCCTAAATCCAAACCCAAAAAAATCATTGAATGATAAGATTATTTTTGTCACCATCATCAACATCGATGTTATCGACGACTACAACAACAACAACGGTGACAAAACATCAAAAAAAATGGCTGTCGTGATACGACAAAACTTTTTCTATTTAGTCATAGAATAACAAATCATCATCATTGTGACTTACTGTGTTTTCGATGTTGTTTTTCTCCACTTATACTTTCCTCTAATCTCCTTCAATTTAGAATCTCCAAATTGATTGTCTGTAGAAAACATTATCAAAGTGTTTTTTTTTTCACTCATTTTGATCGATCTTTGTTTCTTTTGGGTTTTTTACTCTGGTTTCTGATTGATGCCACACGATTCTCCTGATGGATTTTTTCTCCTCAACACCTTGTTTGTTGTTATCGTTAGCAAAAAATGCAGCATTTTTTTTAGTTAAAGTTTTGTTAATTGTCACCATGATGATGATGATGATAAAGTAGTAAAAAATGTTTGTGCAATAATCATCATCATTTGTCGAATCATCCACAATAACTTTCTGCTGTTGTTGTTTTTGTCATTCATTTTTTTTCCTAATTAACCTGCAAAAAATTGTTTTGTGTTTTCGCTCAATGTTGTTTTTTTTTCTTGTGTGTGTGTTGTTTTGAAATTTAACCCTGCAGCATCATTTTTGTAAGAATTTGTAAAAAAAAAGAATTTAAGAAAAATGTCCGACGAAGCTGAATTAGATCGATTACGTCATGAAGCTGAAATTTTACGTACAAAAATTATGGCCGTACGTAAATTAGCAGCTGATACTAATTTGAAACAACAAACAGCAAATACAATTCAACCAATTGGTCGTTTACAGCTAAAAACCCGTAAAACATTACGTGGTCATTTAGCAAAAATTTATGGTTTACATTGGTCAACTGATTCTCGGCATTTAGTTTCAGCATCACAAGATGGTAAACTTATTATTTGGGATGGTTATACCGGGAACAAAGTACATGCCATCCCGCTAAAATCATCATGGGTTATGTGTTGTGCATATTCACCATCCGGTTCATTTGTTGCATGTGGTGGCCTCGATAATCTTTGTACAATTTATAACTTAAATGCAACTACAAATGATGGTCGTTTTGTTATTGTACGTGAATTGATTGGCCATGATGGTTACCTATCTAGTTGTCGATTTCTAAATGATAATCAAATTTTAACTACATCAGGTGATATGACCTGTGCTCTATGGGATATTGAAACCGGTCAACAATTAACTGTATTCGAAGGACATCAAGGTGATGTTATGTCATTATCATTATCACCTGATCAACGTACATTTGTATCCGGATCTTGTGACCGTTCCGCACGGTTATGGGATCTACGTGATGGTTTATGTCATCAAACATTTCATGGTCATGAAAATGATATTAATTCGGTAATATTTTTTCCAAATTCCCAATTAATTGCAACCGGTTCGGATGATTCATCTGGCCGTTTATTTGATTTACGTTCCGATCAACAATTAGCTTGTTATCAACATTCAGATATTAATTGTGGTTTAACATCGGTTTCATTTTCCAAATCTGGCCGTTTATTATTCGGTGGTTATGATGATTTTAATTGTTATGTTTGGGATGTATTGCGTGAACAACGTATTACCGTATTAAGTGGTCATGATAATCGTATCGCTTGTCTGGGTGTTACGGATGATGGTGTTGCATTAGCAACTGGTTCATGGGATACATCATTAAAAATTTGGAATTAGCCGCAAAGTATTTTTGTAAAATGCAACCACCACCACGAGCGCCCCCCTTCCCCCCATTTGTATTATGTAATATATATTTTTTTTTTGTTTGTTTGTTTTGTAAATTGAATTAAAAAATAATTTTTTTTCAAAAATTTTTTATTCAAAAAATTCAAACGTGTACACTCTTTCATCCGCATTTTCACACGCCCACACACACCCACACGTTTCGAATTGTACCCACGCCTACACGTTTCTTTCATCATTTACACAAAAAGAACGTCTGCACGTTTGTTTATCGTTGTATACGCCAATAATATTGATATTGATAAATAGCCCAACCAATTATGGCAACAAATATTGCCACACCAATATATGTTAATTTTTTCATCATACGACAATGTCCATCCGAAGATGGCGATGATGACGATGAGGATGATGTCGATGTTGAACACAATGATGATAACCATGGTAATGTAAATGTTTGATTATTTTGACTATTATCATCATCATCAACGGGCGAATCATCGTTAATCATCGTTTCATTTTGTGGATTCTGTTGTTGTTGTTGTTGTTGTTGACGTTGACGTAATCGTAAACGATTCCAATAGATTGGTAATGCAGCAACTATAGCTAGAATTGCAGCCAAAATAGCCCAAATTAATGTTTTCAATTCAAAACGTCTTTGTCTTTGTTGTTCATCATTTACGATTGTTGATGATGATGATGTTGATACTGATGATTGTTCTTTATCGTTTGCTTTGGATTTTGTTGTTGTTGTCGTCGCTGTCGCTGCCGCTGTCGCTGTTGTTGTTGTTGCTATTCGATTTACAAATTCATCAGCAGCAGCAAATGATTTAAATTGTTGTTGTGTTTGCGATTGTGATTGTGATTGCGATTGTTCTGGTTTCAATGGTTTAATAACTTTATCCGATACAGCACTAACCATTGCATCAACATTATTATCATTAAAAATATCAAATAAACATTGTAATTTATGTTCATAAATTATAATCGATTGTCTGCCTAATTGATTACTAATTGAATTTAATTCTTTCCAAAAACGATCCGGTTGTATTGATTCTAAATCATCCGGTGCACGGGTTGCTTGTATTAAAAATTTATGTTTCATTTTGGTTGAACGTAAATCCTGTTCCTGGCCATTAAACGTTAATGTTATTATACATTCATTATCTGGTTGTAGATAACCATGTGTCGGTGAAACCGAATAGAATTTCGGTGCTGTTGTTTTTATTTTAAATGCTAATATTATTTTATCTTGTACAATTGAACGTATACGTAATAATACTGTTGTTGGTTTCTGATATGGACCATGAAATGGTAATTCATATTCGGGATCAAATTTTAAAACTAATTTTCCTGATTGTGTTGTTATTGCTGGTGTTGGTAATGGTGGTGGTGGTGCCATCTTTTATCGTTTAGCCAAGAAAAAGATTTCAAATTGGATATTCAAATCAAATAATCTTATTGGAATATTCAAAACAAAAAAAATTATCTTTAAAAAATCGCAGAAAAATAGCAGAAAAATAACAGAAAATCAAAAATAATAATGGTTAAATGAATTTAAGTGAAAATGAAAAATTTTTTATCTGGAAAACAAGTTTATTGTTTAAATAAATTAAAAAAAAATTAGAATTTTGGAAGTGGCTGGCTGCCTGAATTTTTAATTCAATTTTGGTCCGAAAACAATGGCAGCAGCAGCAAACGAAGATAGAACGTAGGTAGAATTTTTGAATTTGTTCCGAAAATGATGATCAATAAAAATCACAATTCTTTTTTCAACATTTGTTGACGACTAATATAAATAAAACCAATACTAATCAATGCTGATATTAAAAATATAACATCAAACCAACGATGATAGAATTTAAATTGTAAATCACCAAGTACTTCAGTTATAATCATACGATATTCTAATGGCATATTCATACGCATTAATAATATTGATGCAACAAAATACATTCCCATTAATTCGGCTAATAAACAGACAATAATGTTTGATGATTTTGATGATGAAATTGCATAGAAAAACTATATATAAAGTGGTAGAAATAAAAAAACAGAAAGGATTACAACACTTTTTCAAAATCATCAACAAACATTACCTTTGTTAAATTAATAAGTAAACCACGTGTTGATGTGAGAACAATAACACCGATCACCAAAAATGAACAATGTTGTGACCAGAATTTTACATCAACATCGATACCAATATAATTGACAAGAAATTGTAATGTACGTGTTATTGGATCCATACGACCAACACGATCAAATACAATATTGATTGTACACTATTGTGTAAGTGTGGGAAAATATAGTTTGATTTGATTATCGGGAAAACAGATCACTTACCAATATTATTTTATATATACAATATATTGAGAAAAAATATCCCAAATAATTAAAAAAACGACCTTTTATCGTTCGTGATTGTATAAATCTATCTTCCATACGTTTAAGATCAACATATTCAAGAAATAATTGTCTGGACATTTCTTCTAAATTTGAACATTCACGTTGTAATTGTTGAATGTTTGTTGTTTGAAAATCAAATGTTGAACTAAAATTTTTCAAATATGACCAGAATGATGTTTTGGAATTTGTTGATGAAGAAGAGGAAGAATTCTGTATTAGTTTACCACCCAAACCACCAGTTGAGGATATTTTTTGATTATACAATGCTGTTGATATTTGTTTCTTTTTCATAACAATTTTATCCCATGTTTGCATTAAACGTTTTTCAGCATTAGCTAAATCAGCTGTCGTTACAGTGGTTGTAAAATATGACATTGATAAATATGGATAATTAACGGCACCAAAACCGGATAACATTGCTATTAATGTAACACCAATAATACCAACACGACTAATTTGATGTTCAATCGATAATATACCATGACGTGGTGATGATATTGGAAATGGATTACCAATTTTCCAGAAAATAACAATAAACATTAACCATACAATACCGGTTAGTATGAATTTGGAACGCCATCTAATCGGCGTTCGACCATCGGAAAAACAATTTTCAATCAAAAAATATGATATTGAAAATGGTAAGGCAACCAAAAGCATAAATAACATTAGATAAATGGATAGATACCAATGAAAATAACGTGAACTAAATAGTTTTTTGTTGAAAGAAAAAAATCAAAATTCAAGATCAAAATTCAAGAAAATCAACAAACAAACAAACCTTGTATCAAGAAAATCAACAATTTCAAATATAATCAATTCAAACATACAACATGATATGGATAATGTAACACAGAATAATATTTGTATCCATTTATGATTAATTTCATAATCACGGAATAATTTTTTAACAAATATATACCAACCAAAAGCAAAAAATAATAACTAGAATTAGAAAAACGAAAACGAAATCAGAATCACAAAATATTCTAATCAGAAAAATATTTACCTGAGTAATTAAAACAACACAAAGATCTTGCGTATTGATCCAAGCCATTTGATCATTATTTTAGATTAAGTTTTTTTGCTTTGATTTTTCGTTTTTCCAAATCCAAAAATTATCACATTTCAAAACAAAGTTTCATCAAAAAAATTTCATGGATTTTTTGTTTTTGCAAAACAAAAAAAAATCCATGGAATTTTGTGGAATCCAATTCATATAGGACGTATTCGAACGAAAAAACCACTCATTTTTTGTTAACGTTCGATATCGAATGTTTTTGATGATGATCATTTCCATATCCGAATGTATTCCCGCGATCATCAATGTTTCATTTTGAAAGAAATTAGTTTTTTTTTTGGCAATCAAAAACAACAACAACAAACAATCAAGACAGTTAAGTAGGGTAGCCATTGTTTTTTCTTTAAATTTGATCTAAACATCATCACGACGACAACGATAACAACAGCAAAATCTGGACAATAGAAAAAATTGGTTCGTGATGTCAATCATTTTTCAATCGTCGTCGCCATTACCATCATCATTTTTCTCTGAATGAATGTCGTGATTTGTTTTTTATGATGCTAATAATGATGATCGTCGTTGTCATTAACTTGATGATTTGTATGTAATATTAGACAATATATCTTGTTATTGAAACAGATTTTCACAATAATGATGATGATCAAGAAGATTCATTGACACCGATGAAAAAAAATCAAAAGAAATTGATCGATCAATTCAATTCGATTGAAAATTATATACTCTGTTTAAAACAAAAACTAAACGAAGTTACAAAAGATAAAATGAATGGTCAGTATATTTTTTGTTTTGTTTTGTTAATTTAATCAAAAAATGATCAAATTTTTCCAATCAAAGGGTGTTTCGTTTTTTCCGTTTTAATTTCATTATTTAAGATTATCGATCGAAATTTATTACGCATATCAATCTGTCAATCAAAATGTTGGAATTATCAAAATTGATTATGAAAGATAACGAAAACCAGCAGTAGCTTGTTTAAGCATTCTCAAGAAAACTGATTCGATAATAGGTGGTGGGTTAAATCAAACAAATATTTATTTATTAAAAAAAACAAAACGAAAAATGATGATTATGATTGACATTTAATGAGCAAAATAAAAGCTTATTGGATCACGATTTGATTTCGAATGATTTTTTTCTTCTTTCGAATCCTGTCAGGTAAGAAATTTATCGATACTATCGATAAATATCGAACGGAAAATAGTGATGGACGTTTGATTATTTATGATTATTATAATGATGATAATATCGAAAATCAGATAAACAAACAAAAAAGCCATTAATAGACATTTTCCATTTAAAGATAATTTCATGGCTCCCATTGATGATGATCGGTGATTCAAGTAAGCAAAGAAAAATCAAAAAAAAACCCGAAATCAAAACTAAACCGACCGGCACATCGAATGTTTTTTATTATTCGATTTTTTGATGTGTTCGATTTTTGTTTTTGTTGAACAAAAAAATGAAAGAAAAGCTCAAAGCTCAAGAAAGAAAGAAACCCCCTGAAGACATGATAATAATTATCGACATCGACATTGAATGAAAATTATGCAGCGAAAATTAAATATCTGTGCCTTGAATACCAGCCAAAGATGATGATGAAACAAATAACGAAAAGAAAAAATCGACCATCATCATCATAATCATTGGCCATAAATTTTAATGATGAACGAAACGATTCGAATGAAAAATCGACGAAAATTGAACATCAAAAAAAAGAAAGAAAGAGTTAGGCTGGTAAGCAAAACTTGTTTAGCTGTTGTTTTTTTGTAATAATAATATAATTTTGTTTTTTTTTCGTTTAAAATTAAGTTAGTTACAACAACAAGAATTTCATTCATTCCATTCCATTTGTTGTCATCGCCCAAACATCATTTATTGCACTTGATAATAATAATAATCATTATCATCATCATCATCATCATCATCATCTTAATTTCGAAAAAGAATTACATGGCCATTCACCGATCATCCAAGTTGATAATAATACTACTTGCAATGATGATGATGATGTCCTGTAAAACACAGTTATCAACACAAGAGAAAAAAAAATTGTCTTGTTTAATGGTGATGATAGGCTATGTTTTGTTGGCCATCATTAAAAACCAAAAAAAAAAAAAAATCTTTCTGGGCGTTTCATCATCATTATCATTTGTGAACATAAATTATTTTTCAAGTCCAATGTGGATTATCTTATCTTATTCCATTCACTAATCTCATTTTTTTCTGTTGTTCTGATGTAAATCATTAATGATGATGATTATGATGATGATGACGAACAAGAACATTATCAATGAATCAAGAATCATCATCTTGATCTTGTCGTTTGAATTTTAATAATGATGATGATGACTAGATTTAATTTTTTCAAATTTCATTTTGAAAAATTACCCAAAAAAAACAAACAAATTACATTGTAATTTGTTTCATTTACTTCGACATCATTTTGTTGTTGTTGTTGTTGTCGGCATTGATGACATCCAAACCATCACCATTATTTTGGTTGATTGATTGAATTTTTTTTTCTTTCATTTCTAAAATAGATTTTGATGGATGGATGGATGGATTATCGCCACCTCCTACACACACATTTAGTCAAACTATCCATTTTAGTCAAACTATATCTACCCACCTACGCACAAAAGTGTTGAAAAGGAAAAATTATCAATTTTCTTTATCTAAGAGAAAAAAAAAGAAAACAATTATTCAATTTGGGAGCCGATAAAAAAAACAATCAGGGAATCCTAAGCCGATTAGCTGTCAATCAAAAAAAAAAACTGTAATTTTTCTTTGTTTTGTTTTGTTTTGATCAATCGATAATTCTTATCAATTGATTCATCGATCCATATCGTCTATGATGACAATTTTCATTCATTTCTCCCCTCCTTTAAGTGTTTTGGTTGTGTTGAAATAGTAATTGGATGGAACAATTCATTTTTTTTGGCTATTTTTAGTAAGGTCATGATCATCATAACAAGACAATCTGAATGCCACCAAGTTATGTCGAAATAGTTTTCAAGATATTTTATCTGAAAAAATAGACGAAAAAAAGCTAAATTTGGTTGGAATTTCATCGAACCAAGCAAGCAAACAAACAAACAATGAACGGGTTTCTCATCCGATAACAAACAAACAAAGTTGATCTCGATTTTTATGTCGACCAATCCGGTTGAATGAAAAACAAAAATCAATCCGAAAATTGGCGAAAAAAAGAAACACATCTGGCATTTTGAACAAGATTTTTTATTTTTCAAGACAGAAGTCTTGATTCTTTGATCATTAATAATGATAATCGATTTTGATTTGGTCGATTTTGATCATTATTTTCTTCTCAATGAAGTCAATTAGAAATTTTGACACCCGAAAATAGATTTTTTTTTTGCAGTTTTTTTCGGTGGAAAAAAAATGCGAACAAAATTTTTTTTCCACCCAAATGCACCTCCCACTCACACCCGAAAAAAAAGAGTTATTGTCATCATCATCATCATCAGAGAGGGATTCTTTCATCATAAAATTCGTGAAATGAATTTTTTGATGATGATGATGATGATTTAGTTGTTGTTGTTGTTGGACATTATCATGAAATTCTAATAAAAAAAATGTTTTTTTGTTTCATCAAATAATCAGCAACAACAAGTTTGAAGCTTGTTTTTTTTCATTCATTCATTTTAAATGGCTGCCATTCATTCAATAACAGCAGCCATCAGTTATAATGATGATGATGATGAAGAATCTTTTTTTTTTTCGTTGATGGCTTAAAGCCATGTCTACATATCGTGTTGGTTTGGTTGATTGGATGGTTGAATTTTTTCGAAATAACCAAACAAGATGATGGTTTGAGCCAGTTTGCCTAATAATAGACATCCATGATGATGATCATCATCATTATTTCGGGTTTCATGTCTTGTCTTGTGTCTTGTCATTCATTTCACAAGAAGAAGAAAAAGGAAAGAAGACGAAAGAAGATATTTTGGAATACAACAAAAGTCTATTACATAACACATCCATGAATGAAATGAATGAAAACCATCATCAGACGTTATTCATTTGATGTTTAGAGTTGGTTGTTTGTGTTCGTTGTTGTTTGGTTGGTTGGTAATCATCATCATTGTGGATAGGGAAAGAAAAACATCAACACATTTTTCATCTTCATCATTTTTTTTGTGGATCACGATCGTTCGAAATATGTTTTTTGGTCAAAAAATTGATTAATTTTTTTTTGTTTACTAATTTCAATAAACGGATATGGTTGATTTTGATGTTTTTGATGTTTCTCGTTCGAATCGAATGTTTATGTGAGCACAAGGATTTTTGTGCGTACACTTCCTGTCGAAATAGTTCTATTTTAACCCAGAATAAAAAAAAACATTCGCTCATTCATAAATAAAGTATTTTGTCGGATACCCGGATAAATAAAATAATTTTTTTTGCGAAAAATTTTTCCCGTTTTTTTTCCTAATCTCTCTCGCAATAACACATTCATTTTTCAAAAAAAAAACTTATTTTCGGTTTAGCAGAATATGATTGTATCAAGCAACAAACATCATCAATTACAAGTGTGTGAGGGGGAGAGAGAGTATAATAACCGACGTGAACGAACTTGGGTTTTTTTTCCGAAACGTTTTCGACAAACGAAAAAGAATGTGTTTGTCGGAATTAAATTAAAAGAAACATACGAAAAGAAACATGGATGTCTGTTGTAAATTGTTTTTCAATGAACATCATTCATTCACATTCAATGAATGAATGAATAAAGTCAATTCAAACGGGTGAAAAAACAAAATTGTGTCGGAAGTCAACAACCCTTTTTTTTACAAATCAAAAAAGTTAACAGCGAAAAAATGAAAATCGGGTGAAACAAAAAAACAATCACCCTGTATTGTTAGTCTGTTGTTGACAATATTGTGTCATCAATTTAATTTAAAAAGAAAGAATTTTCTCTCATTAAAACAACAAGAAAAAGAAAATTTTATTTCCTGGCTGGCTGCGATCATCCAGCCATCAATTTTTTTCTGTTTTGACTTTGTTTTGGCCATTGTTCATCATCACCATCATTAACCGAATCAAAGAAAGAAAAAGATTTTTTCTGCTCTTCATTAAAAGAGAATCAGCCGAAGCTAAACTGGATTATATTTTTTTTACCGAAAAAAAAAATTAAATGGATTAAAACAAGAAAAGAATGAATCTTTGAAGATGATGAATGTATTTTCTAATACGATGATCATTTTGTGTATTAGGTCGAAATAGTTTTTTTCAAACAAAAATCTTTTTCGTAAAACTTTTTTTTTTCATTTCCCGTTTTGTTTATTTGATTCGATTCTATTTGTACTCAAGTGGTTTGTGTTTAATTTGGTTTGTTTGTTTGTTTGTTTATATCATGTTCTATATTTGGAATTTTCGAAAAAAAAAAATTTTTGTTTGTTCCCATTTTTTTCAACATTTTTTTCAATTTGAATGGCCAATATTTTTTTTGGCTGGTTGGTTGAAGATGATAATAATTTGCTGATAGCGTTAACACACTTGAATGATTTTTTATCGGGTTCGAGAAAAATATTTTTTTTTATTGTTTTCGGGAAATATTTTCCCGTTTTTTTCAATGCCAACACCGAGAGAGAATGAGAGAGAGGGAAACAAAAAGAATGTTAAGAGCTTTGCCCTGAAATAAACAAAGAAAAACATATATTCCTCTTTGTTTTTTCCAATCCCGATCGATTCTCAACTTGCTTCGGTCAACGGCTTCAAGCGAATCAATCAACCAGCCAGTCAGCCAGCCAGTCAGCCAAAAAAAACCGAACCAACAAGTTTTTTTTTTGATTGAATTCCCGAACGATGATGATGACGACGGTAATAAACATGCGCCCAAAATTCATCAAGTTTTTTTTGGAAAGTTTCAAAGATTCAAAATACCATAGCAACAGGCTAATTTGTTTCTTTTTTGTGGTAAAAAGCGCATGTTCAAAAAGAATATTATTTTTTTTTTTAAATGGGCGTCAACCCTAACCCTCTCTCTCTCATTGGTCAAGTTCACAAAGGTAGTGGTATATAAAAATGTTGTTGTAAGGATGAGGTCAAACTGTTGATTGGTTGATTTTTATATTCGAAAAAAAATGCGGATTCTTTTTTACCGCCACTACCACCAATCATCATCAGAAAAAAAAAAATCTCGCGCGCGGTTTGCACTTTGCTTACCAAAAAACTCAAAAGTCAAAAACCAAAAACACAGCAAAGAAAATCATTAAATCCAGAACAAAAAAACGATGCCAGTTTCCCTTCCCCCATCACATTATATAAGGGTAAACGAAAAAAGAGTGTCTGTCTTTCTCTCTCTCTTGTGTTGAAGAAGTTTGCAAAACAAAAAAAAGTAATAAACCCGAATCAGCAACCAAAAGCAGAAAAAAAACTTGTCTACAAAAAGCAGCCTTTCATCTTGAACATTCAAACATTTAATCATTTGATTTCGATTTGGTGTGTGTGTTTTTTGACCGTTTTCATTTTTTCATCGTTTGAATCCAGCACACCACACAAGTCGTTCGTTGTTCGTTCTTTTTCTGTTCACTTTGATCATCATTTTTTGATCATTTCATTTTCTTTGTTTCGATCATCGAATCGACACGACAACAGTTTTTTGTTTGTTCTGTTTGGTAAATTCAAAGTGTTTTGTGTCTGTCATCTATCTGTGTGTGTGGTTTTGTGAAAATTAAGTTCGATTCTGATTCAAAATGCGTGAAATCGTCCATATTCAAGCCGGTCAATGTGGTAATCAGATTGGTGCCAAGGTAACATATTTTTATCAGCCAGCAATTTTCAATCTTTGATGGAATTTTTTTTTCGTTTTCGTTTTTTTTGAAAATCTTTAGTTTTGGGAAGTAATTTCTGATGAACATGGTATCGATCCAACTGGTGCATATCATGGTGATAGTCCATTACAATTAGAACGTATTAATGTTTATTATAATGAAGCATCTGGTGGTAAATATGTTCCACGTGCTATCCTATTGGATTTGGAACCAGGTACAATGGATTCTGTACGATCCGGTGTTTTTGGTACATTATTTCGTCCGGATAATTTTATTTTTGGTCAAAGTGGTGCTGGTAATAATTGGGCCAAAGGTCATTATACTGAAGGTGCTGAATTAGTTGATACTGTATTGGATGTTGTCAGAAAAGAAGCCGAAGGCTGTGATTGTTTACAAGGTTTTCAATTAGCACATTCATTAGGTGGTGGTACTGGTTCCGGTATGGGTACATTACTTATATCAAAAATTCGTGAAGAATATCCGGATCGTATTATGAATACATTTAGTGTAATGCCTTCGCCAAAAGTATCCGATACTGTTGTTGAACCATATAATGCAACACTTTCAGTACATCAATTGGTTGAAAATACTGATGAAACATATTGTATCGATAATGAAGCATTATATGATATTTGTTTTCGTACATTAAAATTAACAACACCAACATATGGTGATTTAAATCATTTGGTATCGGTTACAATGTCCGGTGTTACTACTTGTTTACGTTTTCCTGGACAATTGAATGCTGATCTACGAAAATTGGCCGTCAATATGGTACCATTTCCTCGATTGCATTTTTTTATGCCTGGTTTTGCACCACTTACATCACGTGGTTCACAACAATATCGAGCACTAAGTGTACCGGAATTAACACAACAAATGTTTGATGCTAAAAATATGATGGCCGCTTGTGATCCTCGACATGGACGTTATTTAACTGTTGCCACTATTTTCCGTGGTCGTATGTCAATGAAAGAAGTTGATGAACAAATGTTGAATGTTCAGAATAAAAATAGTTCATATTTTGTTGAATGGATTCCGAATAATGTTAAAACGGCTGTTTGCGATATACCACCACGTGGTTTGAAAATGGCTGCAACATTTATTGGTAATTCAACTGCAATACAAGAACTTTTCCGTCGTATTTCCGAACAATTTACCGGTAAGTTTTCTGTCAACCACCTGTCAATCACACATTACTAATCTTTATTATCATTATCATTAGCCATGTTTCGTCGTAAAGCATTTTTGCATTGGTATACTGGTGAAGGTATGGATGAAATGGAATTTACTGAAGCCGAATCAAATATGAATGATTTAGTTAATGAATATCAACAATATCAAGAAGCAACAGCTGAAGATGAAGAATTATTTGAAGATGAACAACCAGAAACTGCTTAAAAATCAGATTTATTTTTTTTCAAAAAAAAACCAATTTTTTTTCATATTCGACTTTTGAACCAATCCAAAACGACGACGAAATTCATAAAAATACACCGAAACAAATTGAAAAACAAAAATTACCTTTATGATCGTTAAACGTTCAAACCACGAAGGAATTTTTATTTTCACACCAAAAGACTTTTCATCCATTTTTTCTTTTGCTATAAATTAATCAATTTTCATTTAATCACACATCAGACATTCAATGATGCTAATTTGTATAAAAAAAATACTTTCAAGCAATTTTACCAACAAATTTTCCAATTTCAAAACTATTTTTTTTCGAAAAACCAAATTTTTATTTCCACAACTTTTCTCTATATCTGACTAAATATACAAATTTTCAATTATGAAATAAAAAAAGAAAGTGAATAAACGATGATAAAACAGATGATGTAAAAATGAATTCAAAAAAAATGAAGGAAAAAAAATCACAAAAAAAATGTTTTTTACAAAATTCTGAACAATGATTCATCTATGGAAAATTCTATGGAAGATAATGATGATGATGACTATGTATTGCACACGGGAATGTAAATGTTTTTTTTTGTAGAAAAGAATCGGCAATCCGGTTGCCTTATTTCAACATTTGTTTCGTGGTATTATCATCTCCACCACCACCATTATTATTATGGTTATTATTACCAAATTGAAACCAATTTGTACGATTGGATTTTTTATTCATTGTTGATTGTCGATTTTTATTTGAATGTGGATGATGATGATTATTATTGATAAAAAGATTATTATTATTATTATTATGAATACGATGTTTTTCCTGATGATAAATATATGATGGCAGACTACCGGCACGATTATAACGATCAATTTCAAAACCTTTCATTGGTCCTAATGGAATTTCAGCAATAACTGTATCCGGTTTTCTTGTTGATATTTTCGTTGTATATAATGTTGGTTTTCTTATATTATTACCAAAATATTTAGGTTTTTGTTTTTGTTTCAATTGATTTTGATGTGCTAATTTTGCACTTTTTTTATCCTGTTCAGTAACAATGAAACATTGTTGTTGATCATCTCGACAACGCTGTCGTTCTTGTTCGAATGCCCGTAACCAAATTTCTTTATCTTCCAAAGATTTTGCCTGAAACAGATACCATTTTTGTTTTGGATGATAATAAAATTTAAATGCATTTTTAACCATAATATTAAAATGATTATCTTTAACATTATCATCCAACGATATAACCGTATCAATATAATCCAATTCAATACGTGTTTTAAATAAATATGTACGTTTTTTCAATAAACGACTATCTTTTCTTGCCATGATTAACAGGTGATCAAAAATAAATACAGTTAATTCTTTTGACCATGTTGTACGTATTATACGTGTAATTTCACCCGAATGTATTAATAATGATGATGTATCCAATAATGATGGTCCATCCCAATTTTCAAATAATTCCTGTATGGATAATAATTTTTCCAATGATTCAAAACGTGATTTACGTTCATTAACTAATTGTGCAACACGTTGCATACATTTATATGCTTCAGCAATTGATTGATAATCTAAATGTTCTATACGTGTATATTTAAGTAATTCAGCTAATTGTAATGGATATTTACATATTTTTTGTATCGGTGTTAATAAAAATCCATCCAATGATATATCGATCATATTCTGTAACAGGCGACAACCTTCAAAAAATATTACATATTTATGATCAGTATAAAGATCTTGTAATTCACTTGTTGCTAATGGATGATTTTTACAAAAATCACTATAACAATCAAAACCTTTTTCATTCGATAGGAAACAATGACCAATACAACTTGCAGCTAGATTTTTTCGATCAATACATTTATCTAATTGTTCAAGAAATTTTGATTGAAATTCATATAATTCTTCAATATTACCAAATATTGTTTGTATACGTAATTCATCGAACATATCTTTACGATCACGACATGGTTTTAGATAACCATCGATAACATCTTTTAAATTTTTAACAAAATCTTTTTCAGTATTCCATATTTCCAGGATAATATTCGAACGAACTTGTTCCGAACTCATTAATTTTGTTGTTGTCGATGTTGTTAATGGTGTTGTTGTATTAGATATCTGTGATGATGGTGACATATCGTTTTGGTCGTTGTTGTTGTCGACAATATTATTATCGTTTGGTTGTTGTTGTTGATTATCAATCAATAATGATCTATGATGATGGTCAGTAACATTTTGTAATGATTCTTCAATTGTATCTTCTTGGCTAACTTTTAACTGGAAAAAATAAAAATTGAATGGAAACAAACAAAAATAAACATCATGAGTAACGAATAAACAAATCGATAATGAATTGAATAAAAATCAAAATCGATTTCGAATCATATTCAACAAAAAAAAAAATAATCCTTAACTACGACTTACACGAACATAGGAAGCTGGTATCCATCCGTGTCGGATTTCATCACATGTTGTTGTCATGGTTTTTGATATCGATGGTTGCGATGTTGTTGTTGATGTCGATTTTGATTTGGTTGATGTTGATATTGATTTATTAGTAATAGCCTTGATTGTTCCCCACCACCATTGTTTATGACTAATATCGCTTACTTCGATCAAATCACCAGCATTAAATGATAATTCTTCATTATCATTACCTTGATAATCAAAAATGGCTTCCGCATAGATGATATTCTATAAATATACGATCGAACACAAAAGACACAAGCGTGATTATCAGATTTTTTATTCAAAATTACAAAAATTACTTACTCTTTTATAATTATCATCATCATTATCAATAGTAATTTCACCATTCATACCAAACAAACATTTATTGTTGTTGATTTCCGAATCTTTATTCATTAATAGATTCTTCTTTTCCACATTATCATTATCATCATTCAATGGTTGTGTTTGTGATCGTTTTAAACGGCCATGTTTTTTCGAAATTTTCCGTAATGATTTTCGATTTATTGACATAAATTGTCGTCGTTGTTGTATTTCTGGTGATGGTGTATATCGTTCCAATTGTTTTTTCGATTGTTTTTCAATACCACCACCACCATTCACAAAATCAATTTTATTCTGATTGATATCGATTTTATAATTCATATTATTGATTTTATGTTTAGGTGAATTATCAGCTGAAAGTGATATTCGTGATTGCTGTGATCTTAACGAAAATTTTTTCCTAAATCTATCAATCATACCATCATAATAATAATTATCTGATTGTTGCGGTTGTTGTTCTTCTTTTAAATGCGCTAAACGGGTTAAATCATTTTTCATTGTTAAATCATTTTCAGATCGATGATGATGCTTATCGATTGATAATCGATTATCAGATGGTGATTGAATAATATCCAATTTATCACAACTAGATGACTTATCGTTATTATCATTTTGAAAATTATTATCGCCCGTCATCATTATCATTGATAACATTGAATTTTTTTGTGTATCAGCTAATGAAAAAATTTGTCCAATGAGATCATCATGTCCACCATTATTAATCCGTTTATCATTAATCATATCGGATGATAATGATGATGGCAGTGGTGGATATTGATCACAACTAAAAAGATCAACTTTTGGAAATAATATCTCCGGTTGTTGTTGGTGTTCGAATTCAAAATCATCTTTTTTAGGCGTAGATGTTGTTATTTTTTTAGGCGTATTCGTATAATCATTTTCTTCATCTAAAACAATAAATTTTGGCTGTTGTTGTTGTTGTTGGAATGATATTTTATCATTGGAATGATGATTTATCGATGTTTTCATTGATTTTTGTTGAAAATTTGATTCAATTTGATCATTGGAAGCCTTACTCGAAACCTTTACAGTCGAAATAGATGGAATATTCGTCGATTCACCATCATTAATCCTTTGAATTGGTATATATTTTATATTGTTTGATTTGACAGAAACATTCGATGATAATGATGATAATGGTAATGATGATGGTTGTAAATCGGATTGCATTCGTAATAATGATGATGGTCGTCGTTGTTGTTGATCATATCGATTATCTTTGTGATTGTGATGATATGATGAAAATTGTGGTAAATTTTTTCGACAAAATTCATAATATTTTTGATAAAGATTTGAACATTGATTATCAACATTTGGGTGAAAACCAGAAATAAAATCATGATCATCAGAAGTTTGATGCCCTTGATTATATAAAGGTATTCGTGAACCAATAATATTTGATGATTCATTATGAAAATATTTATTAATATCCGCATTCAATATTGTCGATGATGATTGCTGTACATTGCCATCATTATCTTGATGTTGAGGATCATTATCCCTGTGTTGATTATTAAGAACACTTTTTGTTGTTGTTATCTTTTTAAATGGATGGATTGAATATTCCTGAGATGAATCACGTGATGATGATGATGAATGCAAAGAATTCCAACGATTTAAAAATTTTTCTTCTTCTTCTTCCAAATCATCCTCATCTTGATTATCATTCTGTTGTTGATGATGTTTCTTTTTAACCCTTTCACCGCCACCACCACCACCACCGGTATTATTATTAATTTTACCTGAAGAATTACTACCTGAATTAACTAAATGTTCAATATTATTTGTAAATGATAAATCAGCTAATTTATTATTTGTTGTTGTTGATTTTTTATTCCTATTTTGGCTATTATGATTATTACGTTCCAATGATAATGATGGTATACGTAATTTTGGTTTTTTATTCTGTTGTTGTTGTTGTTGTTTAACATTTTTATTACCAGATGATAATTCAGCAAGACGTAATAGTCTATCACGACTATTAATTATTGTTGATGGTTGTTCATTGATATCGAAAATATTTGTTGTTGTTGTTGTTGTTTGTTTTGACATTTTTGATTGATAATTTGATGATGATGATCATCATCATCATCATTGATTTTTGATTGAACAAATTGAAAAAGTATCAAGTTTCCCAGTATGTTTGTTTGTTTGCTTTTGAACAACAATCATGATATAAGGATGATGATGATGATGAAACAAAATACACTTTGAGTGTGGTTAAGGATTAAATTAAATTAATTTTATATGGGAAAAGAAAAAGTCATCATTGTGTTTGTGTGTGTGTGTGTGTGTGTGTGTGTTATTCACATTTGTAAAAGAATGTCATCATCATAAAGATGCAAAAGCACGGGAGTCGAGAAAAATAATAATAAACTAATAAAAGGATGCACTGGGAAGAATTGAGAACAAACAGCAATAATGATCCGTCCAGGATTATCATCATCCGATGAGGAAAAACGAAAAGATTCGAAGAAAAACGAGTGGTGAGAAACACAAGAAATGAATCTATGACAACCAAATGAGAAAAAAAGAGAAGAAAAATATTATCAGTTAGTTGGTTATTCACATCATCATTATGGATTAAAAATCATCTAAATAATGAGGATAATTATCATAACATACCAATTATCGTGGCAGTCGCGTTTTCTTGGAAAATATGATGATTCGAAAATGATCAATGTTCGAAGGAACAATGTTTTACCTTCGAACTGCTTGATGATGATGGTTTTTTTTGGAACCCAAAACAAACCAGAGAAAAAAACAAAGGAAGAAAAAGAAAACCAGTGAAATATCATCACATGGATTGCAATGTTATTTTGTTTCATTGAAACAAACTTTTAATCGTTCGTTCGTTGTTGGAAAGCAATTTACTACACCACACCAAACAAACACATCAAACACAAAACATATTGACTAAATATAGAATTAGATAATGTTGAAATGGAGAGATGGAGAACAGGAGAACAGGAGAACAAGAAAAAGAGAAAAGTAGTAGTCATTATTCATTCATTATCATTCAGCAAATATGAATGAATGTATCACCATCTTCAAAAATTGAAAATTATCATCATTATTATTGATGCAATGGCATTGATGATGATTCAAAGATAATCCAACATGCTGCAACATGATAATTGAATGTTTTTTTTTCGAGAAATAAAAAAAGTTGCATATATCGATGTTTGTTTGTTTGTTTGTTTGTTTGATGAATCCAGTTGCATCAACAACAACATTTCAGGAAAAAAAAAACTGGATGTTAGGATTTTTTTTTTTTGGATGCACATTTTTGACTCAACTCACGAATCGAACATATTGCGGATCATTGTGGTGGTAATGCGCATGATCAAAAAGAATGAATGGAATATATTCGAATTTTTTTTTTTAAAAAAATGGATTCTTTGGATTTCTTTTGGGATTTTTGGTTTTTGGATATTTGGTTTCTTGGGTTTTTTGGATTTTTTTCTGATTTGTTTCTCCGAAAAATCCAAAATGTGAAAAAATTTGTTTGTTTTCCATAACTCTTTCTTTTCCTCTTTTCGGCTATAAACATCATTAGCATCATTTGGCAATAATGATCATCATCAATGTTCAAGGTTTATGTCACATGTTTTTTTGTATGTGAAAAAAACATCAATAATAAATAAATCAACGAAAGAAGAAGGAAAAAATTGATGACAATTGATGACAAAAGCGGAAAAACAAATTCATCATCATCATCCTTTTGTTAACCCGTTGCTGTATTGAAGATTAATGATGAATGAATGATAATGAATGACAAAAATAAACATCAAACATCAACCATCAAACTCAAGAGAAAAAGATCATCATCATCATCATAATTCATATTTTGACAGAAGTCATTATTTTTATTTTCAATTTGAATAACAATTTTAACAATCAAAAAAATCAAACATCAACATAATCTAATTATGTACAGTTTTTTCAAGATTTTCTCTGTGATTTGCCCTATGATTTTTGATTTTTGACATTTGATTTGATTTAATTTTTCTTACTCATTTTATTTGTTTGTTGTTGTTGTTGTTCATTTAATTCTTGTTGATATTTATCCATTAAATTTTGTTGTACATCATTTCTGGCTGGTGAATAACGTGAATATTCCATTGTATATTCACCTTTACCTTGTGTTAGTGTTCGTAATTCAGTTGCAAAACCAAACATATCATTTAATGGTACTTCAGAATTTGCAATAAAATAATTATCCATTTCATTTGTTGATTGTAATAGGCCATTACGTCTGGTTATTAACCCTATTAATTCACCTTGATATTCAGCTGGTGCACTAACTTCAACATGCATTATTGGTTCCAATACCATCCATCGGCCAGTTTCGAATGCTAAATTATTAATGGAATGCAAAGGGTTAAGGTAAGAAAAAATATGAATGAAAAATGTTTTCGTTGTTTTAACAACACTAACCTTGTTTCATAGCACCATGTGCAGCCAATTGAAATGCAATATCATTTGAATCAACAACATGATGTTTACCATCTTGCAGACGAAATTTAACACCACAAATACGATGTCCAATTAATGGTCCTTTTTCACACATTTCATCAAAACCTTTACGTATGGCCGGTACAAACCAACGTGGTACATTCGGTCCGGATGTTTCATCGGAAAATAAATTTTTTGTATTCTGTTCCATTGGTAATGGTTCCAATACACCGATAACACAACCATATTGACCAGCACCACCGGATTGTCGTTTATGTAGATAATTAAATTTTACCGGTCGTAATAATGTTTCACGAAATGCAACTTTTGGTTTACCCAATATAACCGGACAATTATATTCTCTTTCCATTCTTTGTCCATAAATTTCTAAATGTAATTCACCCATACCCGATACAATCATTTCTTTACAATCATTATTCCAATGACAACGAAATGTTGGATCTTCTTTTGTAAAACGTTGTATGGCTTTGGAAAATTGATCCATCGAATCTTTTGATGTTGTTTTTATTGACATTGAAATCACTGGTTCCGGTACATAAATAGATTCCATTGATAAATTTGAATTACGATCCGTAACAAATGAATCTCCGGATGCACAATCAATACCAAATAATGCACAAATATCACCAGCTAATGCTTCATCAATATCTTCCATTTCATTGGCATTCATTCGTACCAATCGTGAAACTTTAACTTTTTTTTTCGTTCTTGAATTATACATATAATCACCTTTACGAATCCTTCCTTGATAAACACGCATATAGGTTAATTGACCGAATTTTGTTGCATCCAATTTGAATGCCAAACCAACGAATATATTTTTTCCATCACGTTCTGGATTCATTTCAATTTTTTCAATTTCTTCTTCAGTTGGTGGTTGTTGTGATTGATCATTATCTTGTGCGTTTTGTATCAAAGCAAAATTTTTAACCTCAGATGGATCAGGCAGAAAATCAACAACACCATCCAACATTATTTGTACACCTTTATTTTTCAATGCACTACCAGTGAATACTGGTACGAATTTCCTCTGGATACATTGTCGTCGTATGGCAGCCTAAAATCGGGTGAAAAAAGGGTTAAAAAAGAGTTGAACAAATTTGATTTTTTAAACATCAAAAAAAACATACAATCAATTCCTCATTTGTTGGCATACGTTCTTCCAGATAAAGTTCACCAATATAATCATCAACATTTGATATTGATTCAATTAATTCTTGTCTTTTTTCTTTTGCTTCCACAACCATATCACTGGGTATTGAATCATAACGAATTTGTTCACCATTTTGTCCATCAAAATAAACAGATTTTTGTTCAATCAAATCAACAATACCGGAAAGATTTCCTTCCAAACCAATCGGCAGATTCATAAATGCAGCATTAAAACCAATTGATTTACGAATTTGTTCCATAACACGTTTCGGGTTTGCACCTGTACGATCTAATTTATTAATGAATGCAATACAAGGTACTTTATAACGATTCATTTGTCTAGTAACCGTAAGGGTTTGTGATTGTACACCACCAACACCACAAAGTACAAGTATAGCACCATCTAAAACACGTAATGAACGTTCAACTTCAACAGTAAAATCAACATGACCAGGTGTATCGATAATATTTATATTCGCGCCTTGCCAATTTACATATGTTGCTGCTGATTGTATGGTTATACCACGTTGTCGTTCCAATTCCATTGAATCCATTTTTGCACCAATATTATCTTTACCACGAACTTCATGCATTGAATCAATACGACCACAATAATAAAGGATACGTTCGGTTAATGTTGTTTTCCCGCTATCAATATGTGCCGATATACCAATATTACGAATTTTTTGTAAATCATTTTCAAATTTTATACGATGTTTATAACGGGTTGGAATGATTAATTGTTCAATCTGTAAAAATCAAGAACCGAAAGAATCAAAGGAATGATAAGCGAAATGATTAACGAAAATTGAGACTTACAAGAAATTTTTGACGAAATAATTTGAAAGCTGAATTTATTTGAATAGTCATAATTTATAATTTAAAATGTAATTAATTTGATAATTTTTACAAAAAAAACCTAAAGACAAAAAAAAATTATTTAACTTTTATCCGATCAAATTGAAACAAAAAAAAACATGTGTGATTCGAAAAGTTTCCCCGGATAATTCATTTCCAGGAAATATTTCCATATGTTTTTGAATTATTGCTTAACCAAGTTTGGATTTTTTGATTTTTTCCGCAAAAGAAAATGTATAAAACATTACCGAAAATTCGGTTTTTACAACGAAATTTTCAATTAAAACAAGGTAAGCGAATTCTATTTTGAGGAAATTTACAAAGGAAAATTTATTTTTATTTAAAAATTCCCTTTCTTTTCAGCTTGCCAGATACGATTCTGTTCGAATGATAATAAAGATGATGGTGGTGGCGGTGGCGGTAAACCAATGATTGATCGTAAACAAATTGAACGTGAACAACGTGATCGTCGAATACCAGTCGAATTGGAAACAAGTATTCAATATATGAATAGTGATGGTTAGTTTTTATTTAATTTGTTTTTTCGAGAAAATTTTAACTTAAAAAAAATCATTTTCAATCAACAAACAGCATTCAAAGAAACATATAAAGAATATAAAATATGGGAATTGTTTCGTCGTAATTTTAAGGGACAATTTTCACCAGCCGTTCCACGTTTAAGTTGTGTTGGTGCGGATGGTTTTCTGAAAACATCGAATCCATGTGTAGTTTGTCGTGATCGTAATCTGCTCGTTCACCATAAGGTATTTTTGATTTTTCTTTTGATTTTCTTTTAATTTTCTCTCAATTTTTCCCCCACAGAATATTGAACTTTTAAAACAATTCATCAGTCCACATACTGGTTATGTTTATCCAAATTCATTACTTTGTCTTTGTTTTGATCAATATGAAAAATTATGTGCAGCCGTACAATTGGCTAAAAATTATGGTTTGATTGATTTTGAAGTACCTGTACGTCATTATGATTATCGTTATCATTATAAACAAACGATTGACAAAAAAACAAAATCATAAACTCTAAAGTGAAAAAATCAAACGTCGATAATCAAATTGAAAGAATGTACAGTGTTTTTTTCAAATGAAAATAAAATCATAGAAATGAAATCAAAATCAGAAAAACAAACAGCCAAATGTTTTTCTAGTTTTTTTTACTTGCAAACAAAAATCTAAATATTGACTGATCTTGTGACGCGCACATGACATGCATCAACTGAAAATGAAATCATCAAATGATGACGATAACCAAGGATTTTTTTTGTTTTCTTTTGATTACTCTTTTGGCATCAAGTTTTTATCATAACTATTGTGTTTTGCCAAAAACAACAACAACAATTTTTTTGTCGTTTATCAATCGATAAACGATGATAATCATTGATGACGACTGTTGTTGATTATAAATCATTCATTTCATCCAAAGATTTTTTTCTTTTCTGGCAAACAGAATAATCGGATGATGCACATTGTTATTGGAAAAATATAAAAAATGCAATTGAGAAAAAGTCCGGAAATTAATTGCTCAACCCGCTGTCCTAGCATTTATGAACAAGACCATTTTTAAAAGCCAAAAACGAAAAAAGAAAACAAGGTTTCAATTGCTATTGCGTCGTTCGAATTTGTCCTCGTTTTTTTTTGTTTTAACATTCGAAATGAGCATTCTCGAGAAGTGATCATCATTGACTCCTCCCATTTTCCAATCACCCTCTCCATGTGAAATAGAAGCAAAGAGGATGAGTATCACTATATGCACAGAGTGCACTCCATGGTAAACGTGACACAATCGAACGTTTTGGCCTTCTCTTTCCAAAAAAAAAACGTTCTTTTTACAACGTCGAACGACTAAAAGTCGTTTTTCTTTTTTTTTGCTCGCTCACTTTGCTCGCTTACTCAATTTTTTCTTGTTTTGTTTTTTTTGTTTGTTTGGTGTTTCCATTGTTTTCCATCGTCATCATCATTTTCATCGATTATTACTTCATATCCTTGTAATTAAAATAACTAAAATAATTCTTTATTTTGCGTTTTCTGGTTGGTGCGTGTGTATTTTGATTAAATGCGTCGTAAAAATTGTTTATCAAAAAAAAAAACAAACGTTGCAATTGATGTTTATATCACAAAAAAATAACAACTCTTATCAACTCTTGGCTTTCGATAGATATCTACGTACCTAAACTATTTGAGCAAAATTTTTTTTGTTTTTTGGTTCTCGTTTCTTGTGTTTGGCGTTTTTGTTTTTGTCTTCTTTTCATTTTTCATTTGGTTTTTCTTTGGTTTTCATATATAAATTAAAAAGACAGTAAAAGAAAAAATCCTTAATTTCAGAACATTACATCATCCATTCATCATCCTCCATCCTCATCTTTTTAGTTTATTTTTGTGAGTGAATTTTGTATACGTGTGTTTCATTTGTTGAAAAAACCATCATCGCACGAAAAAATTTTTCATTTCATTTTCGCCATTTTCGATCTCACTCACTCACTCACTTTTTCGCTGGATAGATCGGCCTTAAATCATTTTCAAAGCCAATTTTTTGTGCTTGTTATCTTCTAAATTAAACAAGAAATAATTTTGCTCTTTCTATACATTCATCCCATAATTGATCTCGATCAATTAATTTATTGATTTTCTTTTTCACTTCACACACACATCAAACACACATACGATTAACTTATTTTTTCTATCAAAGAAGCATATTTGGGCAATTTGTTGTTGCTGTGTATCATCCAATACACACCAAGAATCAAATTTTGTCAAAATTAATCGAATTATATTGTAATTGTAAGCAAAAATAATGAAATAATTTCTTTAATTTTACAAAAATTCATTACCTAATTTTCTTTTCACCCCCTCTATTTTTTGTTTTGTTTTGCCACGCAAACAACAACAACAACAACCATGTTTTATTCAACAATATCGAATAGTTATATAATATCGATGCATTTTGGACGAAAACGTTATATGTTTCAAAAAAATAAAAATACTAGAAAAACGACTAAAATATTAAAAAATTTCTTTACAAACGTATCATCTATATCATTTGAAAAAACAAATCAATTGGCTTTATTATTAAAATTTGAAAAAATGATTCGTTTATCAACAAGACAACAAATGGTTGGTGGTGGTGGTTCACCACAAAAATCATCAATGTTGATGAATAATGGCTCTAATTCTATGATGATTGATAATCATAATCATCATCATCATCATAATGGAAATCATCAGAATAATCGATTTCGTAATAAAAAACATGATTCTTTGCAACAACAACAACAATCCAATAATGTTAATAATAATCATAAAGCTAATAATAATCATCATGTAAAATTTCGTTCATCACCACAACATAATCATCAACAATATCAACATAATCATCATGCCAAAATTAATAGAACATCTCCATTGAAAGAATTACAGGCATCAAATTCGAATGTAAAAAAATTCTATGATTCATTGAATGTTGATAGTCATTATCATCATCATCAACAACATAATCATCATCATTCCATCATTGATAGTAATAATAAAACAGAAATGATGAAAGATTTATTTGCTGGTTCGAAATCTTTGGTAACACCATCGCCTTCGGATTTGCCTAAACCACCACAGAATTGGATGAAAATTATGAATTACAATAATAATAATGTTAATGTCAGTGATGGTATCATTAACAATAATATTGTTAATAATTTGGATAAAACTAAGAATGATGATTGTCAAATATCATCAAATGGCAGCAACACGACAAAAACATCAATTAAATTTGAAGATTTACTTGAATTAAAAGCTATGGATACAATTGTACGTTCGATTGGTGCAAATGTTGTTAATTGTAGTGATTCAATGATGATTAAAACGAGATCCAAAAAACAACAATCAAGTCCAAAAATAATGGCCATGTTTAAACAACAATCACCGCAATCGATAGCAATGGCCAATAATAGATTAATCAAACAATATTGATATCCAATATATATAAACAGTACCATTATTATTTATCTTTCTATGATAATGAATTTTTTGGTATGTTTCTATATAAAAAAAAATCAAATTGGTACTTGTGTAAAGAGATATTAATTTCGTTAACTGTACTATACGTTCTTCATTTGTTTAATTTGTTTCTGGCATTTCGTTTTATTTTCTTCATCAAATCATACATAATCAATATAAAGTACGACAACAACAAAATATGACGCATCAAGAATTTTTTAATATATTTGTCGTAAAAGAAATTCTTTTTATTCTGTTTCTTCTACTATTTCATCATAAAGTGTAAATAATGTTATCAAATTCATCAATTTATTATTATCATCATCAAAGATTGAAAAATTTACATCAAAGATTTTTTGAAAAGTGAAAAGAAAACAAATTTTTCGTTCAATCAATCAATCAATGTGTCGACAAGCAAAAAAATTTATTTTTCTGTATATTTTTTTGTTGATTGAATTGAATCTTTGAATTGTAAATCATTATCATGTGTATAATGATTGCTAATTTGAAAATATTACTTTATATTTATATAAAAAAATGATGATAATAATGAATTTTCATTGAAAACCCACCAATCATCTTGAATTCAACTATGTAAAACATTACATTTCAAAACAAGCAAACAAAATTTTTTAAATGACCAAAATTTGCAACATCAACACATTACACACACACACATTGTAAATTTCTTTCGTTTTGTTTAATTTGCTTGTTTCAAAGATTATCAAGGAAGCTTGAAAATTTGTTTTTCTAGTTTCAAGCAAAAAATTATCAAATTCTTTCATTCCATACATACATACACACACACACATACACAAGATGCAAACAAAAATTCTGTTGTCATTACACAAAAAACAAAGTTTTATCAATCAATCAAACAAAACATTTTTTTAAAAATTTGATTTTAAAATTAGATGATACTCACACACACACACCACTATGATCTGATCTAAACAACAACAGCAAATTGTAAATCATTTTGGCTTTTTTTTTGGAACTTGGTGGTTTCCATACAAACGATACAATTTTGGCTTTTGGTTGTTTTGTTTTACCAATATAAAACACAAACAGATACACACACACACTTAACACAAAAAGGGTTATCCCAAAATTAGTTTTACATAAGATGTGCAAAAAAGATTTTAAGCAAAATTTTAATTCTGAGAAAAAAATGTTGATGATTCACACACCCAATTAACACTTTATCACTTTGTTTCTCTGTTTTTGTTTCATCTTTTTTTTTGATTTGATTTTTGTTTGTTTTAATATATAATTTCACAGGTGTCGATCAATTTTTATTTTAAAATTTCTAGATCGATTTTTGATTTCATCCTTTTTTTCTCTTTGGTTTTGTTTTGTTGTTTTTTTTCTTGTTTCAATTCTTCTGAATTCTTCCATGAACACACAGAAAAAAACTGTCAACATTTTTTTTCTTTTTAAAACACCAAACATTTTGTTCGACTACTGCCACACATTACAGCAACATCGAATGACCAAAAAAACATGTTTGAAGAAAGAAAAAAAAATACAAGAATGTAGAATTCTAGTGGCCGAATTTGACCAATTTTTTTCCAACAAAAACAAAACCAGATGAAATCATTCAGTCAGTCAGTCAGTCAAAACAAAACAAAATCAAATCTTTTCTTTCTTGCTTATAATAATTCTATCTTGTGGTGTTCAAACTGTGATTCTGATTATAATGATGTTTTTTTTTGTGATTTCTTTTGCAAAAAAAAAATAATAATTCACAGTCAAACACTTCAACACCACTTCTCCTTATTACACACACATTTGTTACACAAGAAACACACACCTGGATATTTTAATGTTTATTTTTATTTTTTTCTTTTTTTTAGTTTGTTTATCTCCAAAAAAAAAACAACATTCACATACTGTTTTGTAGTTGTCTATTTATGTGTTTGTGATCTTCCTTCCTTCCTACTTTTTTCCCCCTTTCTTCCCCATTTCTCTCCCCACAAAACTGTCCATTCTTTTTTCCTACCAATATCCCCCCTCCCTTCCCCTGGCCCTATGGGCCTTAAATTGGTAAAGAAAAAGAGCAATTTCTTTTGAGAGCATAATCATCATCATCATATTAAGCATTTATGATGATAATAATCAAAAATTATTAAATAAAGCCTAAATGGCCTGAAATTTCTTGACAAAATTTTTTCCCATAGATCTCATCAGTTATGGATCATTGAAACTGGACGGTGGATGGATGGATGGATGGATTATCAATCAATGCGATGCTTGGCATTTTCATTTCAAAGAAAAAACATTTTCAACAAACCAAAGTTAACTTTTTTAAAATGAGTTTTTTTTTAATTATTAATAATGATAATAAAATTCACAGGGTTTCTTCAAATTGAATTTGTTTGTTTTGTTTTTAAAATCTAGAATTTTTTTTTTGTTTTCTTCTGTTCAAATTATCCATGTGTGTTTGTGTTTGTTTCTTTGAATAAATATTTGCGTTGTTGAAAAATATAGATTGACAAAATGAAAAACAGATTAATCAAATTGATGATGGATAGCTTGGGTAGGAAAGGGAAAAAGTATTTAAAGAAAAATATTTGATTTGCGAATAAAATTTCAAATATAACAAAAAGCAGGCTAACAATGCATAAAAAGAAAGAAATGAAGAAAAAAAAATACAACAGATATATCATCAATCAATTAATCAATCGATGATAATTAAATGTATTCTGTAGTGTATTTTGCTGTTATGGATGCAACCAAAAAAAGAAAAAACGAAAACAAAAGATATCGTGTATATTTTTTTTTAATTAATTGGATGTGTAGGTGTGTGTTGTTTTGAAAAAATCAGTTAAAATATTCATATATATGTTGTCTATTTGTTGGTGTATTTTGGGTGATTATATCGATTTTCAAAAAAAAAAACAAAAAGGAAAATAAAAGGACGCTTGTTATTGTTGTTAAAATTGTTTAACAATAACAATTTAGTTTTTCATCTTCATCCATTATCTTAATTTGTTTAATAATTTATAACATCAACATTTTTAATTGTTATTTTCATTCATAATGTGGAGGTGGTTCAGTTGAATGTGGTTGTGGTCGTAAAATTTTCCTACGACCATTATTTGGTGGTGATACAACTAGATTTCCATGGCTAACTACAGGACCAACAACATTTGATGTTGAATGCAAGCTCGAATGACGTATACCGGCCGAATGATGAACAATTGCTGGTGATGATCTCACTTTACTCACTTTGTTCAATCGATGATTAACATTCATTGATGTTGAAGATGGTAAAGGTGATGGACCAATAAATGTAGCTGTACCAACACCTGTTCCATTAGTTGGCTGCATTAATATTGACATTGGTTTTTGTCGTTGTTGTTGTTGACTATTAATATCATTCGATTCATTAATATTTCTGCTGCCATTTGATGATATCGGTGGAGGATTATGAGCAGAATTATGATCATTATTTTGTAAAGTTTCAATTTTCATTTTGTTATTATTGTCGATTTTATCACCATTTTGATCACTTGTTTTCATAGAATTATTATCAGATTGATGATTTTGTTGTTGAATAGAAATTATATAAGGTTGTTGTTGATTAGATTCATGTTGGTTGCTTGGATTGGCTGTATTAATAGATTGTTGGCTCTGGTTATTATTAATTTTATTATTAATCACCGATGATGATTCATTATTAATCGATGATAATGATTCGGAATTTGTCCGACAAATTTCTTCAACAGAAGATTGTATAGATGGTGGTGTAGATTTAGATCGAATCAATTGTTCGGGTGGTAAATTGGCCACTGAAGAAGATAAGAAAGCAAATATCAATTCCTGTACAAATATACTTCGATCAGCATTAAATGAATCAATTTTTTTCGAATCATTTTCCGATGTCATTGTTGATGACAATAAAGCACTCCTAAAAATAATGATGGTCAAAAAAAATGCCTGCATGATTGACATGAAACTTACGAATTAAGAAGATAATTTTGATTCATCAATGATGATGAATTGGCTGCCGAATTAAACGAAGTATTTGATGACAAAGGACTAGGTGCAGCCGAATCCAATAATACATAAGGCATCGATTGATTCGAATGCATTGCCAACGATGATGATGATTGATCATTATTGCCACCAGTTGATGATGTTAATGTTGAAAAATGTGCTGGTGGCATCTGTCTTCGTTGACGAAACATTCGTTGCAATGATGTTCGATCATAATTACGTTCAAATGGAAATTGATTCGGTCCAGATGATGAAGACGATGATGATGCAGCTGAATTTACACGTCGAACATCAGATAATTGTGATAAAAGCTGTGCAATTGGATCTAATGCTTCATTTCGATTGCTTATGGAAATACCCATTGTTTGCATTGAACTACCATTATTTCCATTACTACCACCGGAAGATGTTGAATTTATGAACTGAGTATTTCTTCGATTACGATTACTAGTCATTCGGACATGACGTTGACGAGTACGAACTGTTTGTGGTTCTTCGTATTTTTTTCCAATCAAAATGAAATTAAAATAGAAAAAAAAGATAAAATTAAGGAAAATAATGATTTTTTGGGGGAAAACTAAAAAAATGAATTTTAAAATATTTATAAATGAAAAGGATATCAATTCACGATTATTATTATTTGTACGATGTTCTAGATTTAAATGATTAAGAAAATCATCGGTAGCTTGATTCGGTTCAACATGCGGTAATGTGGCACAAATCGGACAGACCTTTTATACAAACAAAACAAACGAAAAAAAACAACATTATTCAAAACATTCACACCATCAACAAACAAACAAAAATAACATACCACTCTGATTGAATTATCACTATGTAAAATATTTACATGTTCAAATAATGTTGTATTTGTAAAACCTAAACGGCCACAAATTGGACATGTAAATGAATATGGTTGATCAGTGTTTAGATTTTCGCCAGCGAAAAATAAATCTAAAAAATGGAAAATGAAAACATATTAAGAATGACAAAACCAAACAACCAAACAATACATACCTAAATCATTTCGGGTAAGAATACATTGCATAGGATGATTACTATTATGATTACCAAATGATAAACGTGTTTCATAACAAGATGAACAAAGATCATAATTTAAACAGATTAAACATTTATAACGTTTTCCACGAAAATTCTGTTTAAGGCACGTATCACAAGTGACGCCTAATTCATTCAACAAAACAAAACAAAATCAAAAATCAACAAAAACAAACAAAAACTACAAAATTCTACAAACCTTGATGTTGAGACATATCGATTCTTAATTCAAAATTTTATCAATTTCAAAGACAAAACAATTTAATAATGATAAACTGAAATCACATTTATTGATGAAAAATGATGTCCACCGAACAGAAAAACAGATAAAACAAACGATGATGAAATGCAAAGATAAAATCTATTGTTTTTCAATTAGAAATTTGAAACATTAATTTGATTTTTTTTAAAATGATCATTATTTTCATATTTGTTTTATTTACATTTTCCACACACTCAAACTACAGCTAAAATTACTCAGAAAAAAATATTCACTCACTCTCTTCTATGTTTGTTTGTTTGTTTGTGTACACACCAATATACACACGCTATATGCTGCTCTATTGCTATTTGGTTGGTTTTTTTTTCTTCGTCGAATGTTGTTGATGATGATGACGAACATGAAAATTTTTTCGTAAAAAAGTCAAATTTTCAAAATCAAAGCAAAAAAAATAAACGAACACACACAGACATATGTAAAACATACGGAAAGTGAGCGAATGATGTGATCAGATCATCATCATTTACGGTTATATCCCGTTTGAAAAATTCGCTATATTTACACTTTGGTTAATACCGTTTTTTTTTGCATTGGCATTTTACATTTGCTGTTGGCGTTGGCTCATACCACCACCAATGAATTCTCTGTCTGTGTGTGTGTGTGTGTGTCTTTCAACAAAATAGCAACAATTTTCTTCGTTTTGTTTTGCTGAAGAACTCTCTCTCTTCACAATTCTTACAAAATCATTAATCAAAGAAAAAAAAACGATACGAACTTACAAGAATAATGCTAAATGATGATGATGATGAAACGATGGTAAAGAATAACAGAAAAAGAAAACAATATTTTTTTTTTGTTTTCAAAAAGAAAAACGCAATCAGATTTGACGACGACGACGACAAACAAAACAAAACAAACACTTCTCTCGATCGATGTCTGTGTGGAAAAGAAGTGGCTCTTTTTTTCTTTTTTTTTTGCTCGGCAAAAATATTTTTGTGCCGTTCGATCGATCGAATGTTTTTGGGATCCGTACATAAATGATGTGACGGAATTTTTTTTTCGATTTTAAAAATTGATTTTAAATTTTGTAAAATTTTCTTTTAATTTGTCTTTTTAAATTACAAAAATTTCTTCCCCCACTCGCGATTGATTACACTGTTGCATTTGTCATCGTTGTCATCAACAGCATTATCATCATCAGCATTATCATCATTTGTTTTTGGCAAATTTCAAAGAAAATCGATTAAACAAATCAATTTCAATTTCTTCTTGGAAAATTCATTGATTTCTTCGAATTTGAAACCGGTGGTCGTCGTTCTGTTTCCTATTCATTCATTCAGCATTCTAATCTAAACGTTTTGAATTTTTTCACTTCTGTCCACTCTTTCTCTCGCCACCAAAGATGTTTACATCGATTTTGGTTTCTCGTTCGAAACTCCTCCTTCGAATTTTCAAGTTTTTCTTGAGAACGAAAAAAATTGGATTCTTTATGGAAAAAAACCACAAATTTTTCTCCATTACAATCCATTGATATTTAAGACCAATAGAAGCAAGATTGAAGATGCAAAAGCAAAAAAAATTCAAGATCAAATCGCTAAACGCATGCGCTTCATTCATTCGATTAACATCATGATCATCATCGATGAAATTAAAAAAAGAAAAGAGAAAAATCTGGCCATCAAATCGCGCATATTTTCATTTCAACTAAATTAACATCTTTATCATCGATCAACATTTATCGATTGACTTTATTTCATCACTGTTGCTATATATAAGATTTTCTCTTTTTTTTCATTCTTTGAAAATTTTCAAACATTCGATTCGAATTGATCATTTGACATTTTTGATTTCATCTAAAACGAAAACCAACCAGCGAAAAAAATGACCACAACAGCTATTCAACGTCGTGTTCTAGTTTACGGTGGTAAAGGTGCATTAGGTTCGGTTTGTGTTGATTATTTTCGTAAACAAAATTGGGTAATTATATTTTTTCTGTTTTGCCAAATTACACTTGTTGACACTTTTCTGTTTTTCTTTTCAAAAAAAGTGGGTAACTTCCATCGATTTACATGAAAATGACCAGGCCAATTCGAATATTTTGATCGATGTAAATTCCCTATCATTAGTTGATCAAGAAACCAATGTTATTGAACAATTAACCCAAACATTAGGTACGGATGATAAATTAGATGCAATAATATGTGTTGCTGGTGGTTGGGCTGGTGGTACAGCCAAAAATAAAGATTTTATTAAAAATTCCGAATTAATGATACGACAAAGTTTATGGAGTTCATTGATTGCAACAAAATTGGCATCGAAATTTCTTAAATCGGATGGTTTGCTTACATTGACTGGTGCTAAAGCTGCATTAGAACCAACACCAGGTATGATTGGTTATGGTATGGCAAAATCAGCTGTACATCATTTAGTTAAAAGTTTATCACAAAAAGATAAAAGTGGTTTACCATCTGATAGTTCAGTATTGGCAATATTACCAATAACATTGGATACACCAATGAATAGAAAATTTATGCCAAATGCTAATTTTCAAGAATGGACACCATTAACATTTGTTGCTGATTTGTTTGTAAAATGGACAAACATTCCACAAGAACGACCAAAATCCGGTTCATTAGTACAATTATTGACTGAAAATGGTATTACAACACTTAAAATTGATTGATCATCGATGGATTGATTCGATTATCGAAATTGTTTCAAAATTTTTATTGAGAAAATTCTGCTAATTTTTGCCACAATGATTTCCTTGTTGCCATTGTTGATGATTTTAATTTTTCTTTCAATAATATTTCTGTTAAAAATTCTTTTAGCTCACTATATGAACGATCATTATGATCTTTTGGTTTACAAATACTAAAATGATTTTCCGGTAATAAAATAAATTTTCCAATTCCCGGATTAGCCGATTCTTCGGGTACTAAACAACAAAACAAACAAACAACATATCGTTAATTTGAACAAAATTTCCTTCCAATAAAATTTCTTTCAAAACCATACATACCGAGTAATGCACGCCATTCAATCGGTTTTTTTAATAATGTACATTTTTTCGTTTCACCAAAACTAAGACAATCAATTTGATGATTGCGGATTAATTGAATGAATTTTTCATTCAATTCTAATAATTCGGGTGAATCTAATTGAAGTGAAAAAGTGAAATGATTTCCGATTAGAAAATCATTAAATCAAAGAGATTGTTTGTAAAATATACCTTTTTGTAATTCTAAAACATGATTCGATGGATAAATAATACGTTGAACATTCTGTGACCATACGGCCATTTCCGAACCACGATGTGGAACCGAATAAAATACGATTCCTTTTGTTTGCCGTATGAATGGATGTTGTTGTTGTTGATCTGAAAGATTATCAGTCGTTTGTTGTTGTTGTTGACAATAATTTAGCATATGTTTAACAAACAAACCACCCATTGAATGTGTTATCCATATTATTGGCCGACGACCGATACCAGCTTTTTGTAATTCTTTAATTAATTCTATACTACGATCTTTAATTGTAAATTCATCACTTGAACAATTAATATTCCAACTACTTAGAAATGAATTATAATGTACAGCAAGAATGCGAAAATTTTGAAAATCTTTTGCCAGCCATGAATGTGGCCATAATTCTGTATATTCTGTTTCGTTGATGGTTGAATTCCGTACAGAATCTGATTGACGCCATGTACGTAATACACCACCTTTTAGACCATGAATGAAAACAACATCATAATCCAAAGGTAATGATGATTCTTTTTCACCATGTTGATATAATGGCCATAATAAATAAATTGATGGACAAAGGGTTATCGATTTACTGGCTATCGATGACATATTATATAATGTTTTACCGGCTTCTAATTTTAGATGCCAATCTGTTGATCGTAACCATCTAGCCAAAATACTAATCCAACCGGTATGATAAAAATGTTGATGAACCCGATGATAAACGCTCAATGCTGATATTATTGTCGATATCCAACGGATATTATCCGAATCGGGAAATAATTGTAAAAATTTCAATAATGCAATTAATAAACCATTTTCCACTAGTTGCAGGGCTAAATTTTCATCACACATTATATTTTGTAATAATGTTTGAAAATAAAGATTTTTATAACGTTGAATTTGTTCATCCGATGATGATTTTAGATTATCACGACGATTATGATGATTATATTCATGATAAAATGAAAAATCCCATAATGGATATTGATTATTATGTTCAAATAGTACAAGAGTTTGACGGGTTAAATAATTTGCACATTCCGATTGTCGATAAGAATTTTTCTCATCCAATGTTGAACGTAATAAATGTATCATTAGATCATTTAATGTTTCGAAATGTTGAATTTTATCATCACCATCACCATCATCATTATTGATTTTTAAAAGAATTTTATCCACTGAAATTGGCGGACGAAATTGTTTCGGATCAATTGTTTCATCAATATTTCTTGCTGCTGTTATTGATTGTTCAAAATTCATTGTTTGCGCTGATTTTAAACAATCAATTTCTGTAGAAATTTTGATGGGAAGAAAAAATGTCAAATGTCAATCAGTGATGCAAGATGGATTATCATGTTTACCATTTTTAACTTTTAATAAAAATTCCAATTTAGGAAACCAATTTTCCATTGTTTTATTGAAATCAACATTATTATCATAAGATTTTTGATCACAACCACCATCATAATCGTTATTGAATTGGCTAAAAATTTCGGGCAAATCAATATATTCATCTGAGGGTGATAAATCAGGTGTCGACGTCGTCGTCGTTGTACTTTTATTACCACCCATTAGATATATAAAGCCACTAAGGGGGAAAATCGAATCAAAATTAACTTTTTTTTCAGTCAAAGAAAAATCAATCGATATTTACCCATAAATTGATGAAACACTAGCCGAAATAAGAATGATATATTTGCTCATTATTATTATATTTGACAGAAGGAGAAAAAACGAAGAAAAACTATGGGATTTTTCTTTTTCTTTTTTGCACCCTAACAGAAGAAAAGTTTATAAAAATCCATTCGAATGATTTTCTTGATAATCACAGCATTCGATTCAATATCAATATATTCAAAATCGAAATGATAATTCGGTAAAAAAATAAGGACGGTTATTTTTGTTTGTTTGATCACGTGATGTTTGTTTGTTTATGGAAAAACATAAACAAAAAGCAGTAACGCCATCTCGGATCGATCATATGATGTTCTTGGTTGTTTATCATCGAACAACGACGACGACGACGTTAGAATTGAGAATTCTTTTCGTTGGTAAAGTTTCGTTGAAAAAAACAAACGACAGAATTTGATTCAGCTAAAGTCGATTCTATATAACATCATCATCATCGTTATTTGAATTATCGAAAAATCGATTATCAATCGATAATTAATTAAGAGATTTGATGGCTCGCTCACTGCTCATCATCATCATTAACTTGTTAATTACGTTATTGAATTAATTGATTGATTAATTAATTTTTTCATCAGAAAAATTCTGATTATAAAAACAGCTTGAATATTCATAAATGAAGAAGATATCATCAGATTAAAGTAAGTAAGTTTTTCTTTTTTTTTTCTTTTTCTTTGGATGTTTATTTTGGAAAATTTTTCGGAAAACAAAAAAAAAAATTCGAAAAAATTCTTTAAAAAAAAAATTCGAATGTTCGAATAACATTCGAATCTATTTCCACCTTGGTAAACACTCTCTACCGGCAACGGTAACAACAAAAAAAACCAGAACCCGAAAAACAAAACTTTTTCTTCGGCCAACTTTATCGATCACCAAAAACCGATTTTCATGGTCGTTCTCCGAAAACCCGAATGATTTCTTTCACATTCGTTTTCCCATACAAAACTATTTCAGTATGTCCATTCATGTTATCACACACACACATAAACATCACATATCTAATCATAACCCAAGAATTTATCACCAAAATGTTGACAACCCAAATTTGTTTTTGTTTCTCTCTGCCCGATTCTCCCGTTATTTTTTTAACGATGTTTTTTTATGTGTTCTATATTGGTGAAGCCAGCCGCCGCCAACAACAACAGAAAAAAAACCATTATACCAAGGGTATTGTTATTGTTATTATAGCCATGTTCCAGGAACATTAATCAAGGTTTTTGTTTTCGTGATTTTTTTTTCAATAACCCAAAAACATCAATGTTATTCAGATTTTCTTCGTTCCTTCGTTCTTCTGGTGTTTATATAATGAATTTTCTTACGTTTTTTCGTTTTGTGTTTGTTGACGTCCAAAAATCTATATATACAAAAGGACCACCGTCATTGAGAATATAGATTTCTATCAAAAAAACCAAACCAAAACAAATTGTATCGATCTTTGGTGAAGATTTATTTAAAGAATCATGATTCTTTTTTTCCATAAAGAAGAATTCACAGAAGAAGAAGAATATAGATTGAAAATTAGAAATATTCTTTTCTTTTTTTTTTTTAGTTAGTTAATTTCCATTTTCTACAATGTTTATTGTAATGAATTTGACTTCTTTTTTTCTTTCTGTTCAAATGAATAATTTTTTCCTTATTTAAATATTCTTTATTTATTCATTCATGTGGTTATTATACATATAAAGAAGAATCGACAAAAAAAGAAGAATAATAATAAATATTCTTCTTCTTCTTCTTCGATTCTGGGTCTTTTGGGTATGCAAGAGATTCTTCTTTCAAGAAATCTATATAAAACGAAACGAATAGAATCGAATCAAATGAATAATAATAATCGTCATCATCATCATCATCATCAAATTCAATTCAATAGAAAAATTGTCATTCAGTAGTTTCGTCTCTGGATTCTTTCTTTTGTGTGTGTGAATCCATTCATTCATTCATTCTATCGATCCGATTCTGTTTTTTTTTTCTCTGTAGTTTTGGGTTATGTAAAGACCTAGTTTGTTTTCTCACTTTCCTTTTTTGGTTTCCAAATTCTCTATAGATGGATACCGTTGGTTGTTTGGAATTTGGCTGGCGCCCACTATGTTTTTTTTTTTTTTTGGTTCCCAAAAGGTAGCAGCGCAACTATTTCTACTTCTACCATTTTTTTTTTGGGGATTCTTTTTCCTGTTTTTTTTTCCTTTTCAAGTTAAAATAGTTTTTTTTCTATGTCCTATATCCACAAAAAAAAGCCAAAATTGAATCATTTTACGTCATATTTTTTGTTGTTCTGGGAATAGGATTCTTTTCATTTTCATTTTTTCCATTTGACAATTCTGAAGGTGATGATGATGATGATGATGATCACTATATATTTCAATGACAATCAACCAAACCAAACCAAACTATCGAAAAACGGTAATAAAAAAAACGAATGATATCAGTAGATGTAATCATTATCATCATCATAAATGTAAAAGTTGATTCTTACTTTGCCCAAGAATATAGTAGTGGCACTAGTGGTAGTGGTAGGAATTTTTTTCTTCGGGTTTCACAGACACCAAGAATTTGAAAATCGAGAATGCAAACATCTTGATTATTTTAGTTGGTTCTGGTGTAATGTGTTTTCCTAACGAAAACTTTCTTTGCCTGCTTGCTTGTTTTAAATATATGTTCTGTTCTCCAAAATTGAATGATTGAAAACAATTATTATCTTCATTCAGTTTTTCAAAATGAAATTTTTAAAATAAAAGTTTTTTTCCCGTTTCTTTTCTTCTTTTACACAGTTTTGTTCAATCGAATCCGTCTCTACTACCAAATACTTTGTTTGAATTCTGTTCTTCCGAATCATCATCATCATTATCGTCTCGGATGTTTTCAAGATAAAGAAATTGTTTTTAAAAAAAAAAATTTCGTCCATTTTGAATCGAAAAAAAGAAGATTTTTCCAGTGCTGGGTGTCCAAAATTCAATTTTTCGCCAATTTCTTCGCCACTTTATTTCACAGTGAAAAAAGTGATAATTTCATTTTAGGTTTTCAGTTTTTTCATCCGATAAAACGCCACTCAAAAACAATCATCATCATCGTCCATTTTTTCAGTGTTGTCCATTTTTCAGCGATAAATCATCCATAATGTCATCAATAAATCCAACAACAACAACAATATCATTAATGTCAAAATTTCGTGGATGTATGATTGGTGGTTTAATTGGTGATTGTTTAGGTTCACCATTCGAAGGTGAAACATCCATACCAATAGATTCTATACAAAAATTTTTAACCAAACAATTGGAAGAACAATCTGAAAAATGTAAGTAGATTTTTTTTGCCGAATATTTAATGATTCAATTTTCCAAGAAAGTTTTTTTGTTGCAAAGAAAGTTTCTTGATTGACATTTTTGAATATTATTATTATTATCTTTGGGTGAAACATGTTTTTTTCTGAGGAATATTGATTTTTGAATACACCCAAAACCGATTAACTTGATGTAGTTGAATTTTGTTTTATTCAAAATTGATTTTTGTTTTGTTGAGCCCATTATTTCAACGAAAAAAAAATCATGAAACATTGTTTTTTTTCCGGAAACTATATTGGGAATCGAATTTAGACAAAATGATTATTGCATATTTTATTTTATGAATCATCATTATTGAAAATAACGATTACTGTCAAAAATTTTCTTACCCCGCAACCAAAAAAAAAACCATCATCATTTGTAATCCGATTTCGGTTTTTTCGATCACGATATTATGTCATCATCATCATCGTAATTGTTGTTGTTGCTGTTGTTTTCGAGCTATGTGATATCATTTTTGATTGATTTGTTGATGATGATGATGATTGCAGCGTTTTTTTGTTGTTGTTGTTGTTTTACCTTTTTTTTCATTTAATCAAATTAATGAAAATTCGAGCCAAAAAACTACAACAACAGATAAAACATGAAATATTCAATTACAAAGTTGTAATGAAATTAATTTTGAAAACTTTTTTTTCAAAAAAAAAAAAAAATTAAAAAATCGATAATAATAAACATTCGAATTCAAAACATTCGAATATTCGAACAACTTTATTATTATTATTACACAGATGTCATTTCCCAGGAAATATTTTTTCCAGTTTTTTTTTATTTTCCGAAAACTTTTTTTCTTTCTTTTTCCGTTGTTTACATCATCATCATAATGATGATGATAATATTTGTGGGTGTGTAATACACACACAAACCAAATAAAAATGTTTAAAAATATAGAAATCTTTTTATTTTCTGTTTTTTTTTTTGTTTCCATCAATATTTGATTGATTGATTATGTGTTTGTGTGTTTTCTCCCTAGTGTGTTTTTATTTGAAAAGAAAGAAAAGAGAAGAAAACAAAGCAAAAAAACTTTCAGATAAACAACCACCCACATATGAACATAAATTCTGGAAAAGATTCTCGAAATATTTTTTTATTTACACAAAAAAAAATTCCATTCAACACATAAACATAAAATTTAGATCCCAAGTGTATAAATTTCATCATTCTTATGGAGAAAGAGAAAAACGAAAATGATATTCTTTTGTTCATTATATAAATGGTAATGATATTTGATGATAATGATGATGTATGATGATTTTTGTAACATTACCATTATTATTATAAACTATGATTCATAGTTGTGTTAGGTTAGGTTGATGACTATGACTATGACTGTGATTCATAGTCGAGTGAGGTTAGGTTGATGACTATATGACTATGACTGTGATTCATAGTTGTGTTAGGTTAGGTTGATGACTATAGCTGAAGTGATATGTACGGACTAGTACACACATCTTTCCTTCAAAGCTAAATTTAAGGGAATAATTTTTAAGCGAATATGAACATTTCTTTACAATTTGATTTGTATAAAAAAAAAGATATTTTGAAATTCTGTAGATTCTGACTTTTAACATTCTAAAATTTTTCTTATAAATTCTTTTTCCGAGAAAAAAAATCGATTAATCGATTTTTTTCATCATCATCATCATCATCATTCCAACGAAAATACTAATAAAATCGGATATTAATTTGCGGTTATTATTTGATCATGTTTGTTTGTTTGTTTGTTTATATTTGTAGTGTGAAGTAATGAGGTGTTTGATGATGATGATGATGAAGGCGGATGGATGAGTGGGAAAAAAGCCCGAAAGCTATTTCCACACAAATAGTTTCGATTATGATGATGATGATATTTAGAAACTTTCGTAATTTTTTTATTTCAATTTCACAAGTTTAGTTGTTTTTCTGGTTTGTTTGTTTGTTTCATCAAAGTTTTCAATTTTAAAAGGATTATTGTTTGTCCGCATTATATAATTGAATGAGAAAAAAATTTCGAAAAAGAAGGATTTTTATTATGAAAAAACATTCAAAAATTCAATTTTGGAAATTTTTTCAAAACAAAATGAAAATTGGAGTTTAATTTTTTTTTTGTGCCAACTTTGAAATTGCCTCTAGAGATTAACAATATTTATATTTGCTATTTATGGCGCAAGGAGAGAATATTCTTTATTGCAGAATTCATAACTTGCTTTTTGTTTGTTTGTTTACAATGTTTATATTTCATATTCTGTTTATTATTATGAAAACGATCAATTTTAATTTTTTTAAAAAAAACGTTTTTATTTTTGTGGCTATTTTGACATCGTTCAAGGTTTTTTTATTCATTTTTTGGTTGAATTTTGTTCATTTTGTCATCTTCAAATTTCTCTTTTTTCCCTTCCCACCACCACCACCACCATCATTATTCTCTCGGTTTGGACCTATAACAATAAATCTGTCAAATCAGCAAAAAAAAAATTTTGAATCGAAAACAAAACAAAAAAAAGAATAGAATTCCATTAAACGAATCTAAAATCGATTGTGTACAATCGATTTTTTCGTCCCTCTTTCTCCCCTTTTTCTTTATTCCAATCATATTACGTAATACACACCCACCATCAAATATTTATGAATTTTTTCTTTTGAAAAACTTTGATTTCCATTTTTTTGGTTTTACATTTTGTTAATTAGTCATATATTTTTTTCTACAATTCAGGTTTAATTCTTTCAAAAAAAAGCAAAAGCAAAGGAATTATTCTTATAATTCAATTCTGTTTCTCTCTTTCTCTCTGTGTGTGTTTCAACATACAGAATCATTTCCATAATGATAATTCTATTCATGTGTTTTATCAAGCATAAAATGGATTCTGTTTTTTTGTTTGTAGATTTCCATATTTCTGTTTCTGTTTTTTTGGTTGGATTATTTCATTCATTTTCATTTTTATCAATCGAAAGCATAATGTGAACAACGGAAAAAATACAAAACAAAATTACAAACAATAATAGCTTTTTTTGATCAAAATCTTTTTTTTTTTCTCCCGAAAAGTGATTATATTCAGTGTGTGGGTGGCCTTTTTCTGGAAAATGTTTTTGGAAACTTTTCCCAAAAACTTTCTTTGATTTTACTTTATTTGTTTATTTGAACCGAAAAAAAATCCATCGATAATTGATGTGATTTTTTTTCCTGACAAATTTTCGATTTAAAATCATTGAGAGGGGGAGAAACTTATCAAGAAAATTCTGTGGTGGGTGGCCCGAATTCTTTCGGAAAGATTTTTCGCTAAAATCAGCAACAAATTTTCAAAAATGTTTTAATTCGATTCACGATTGAATGGAATTCGATTTAATTTTGTTTTTGAAAAAAAGTTTTCAAACTAACCAAGTAAGAAAACGGAAAAAAATAGAAAAACAAAAAAACTTGGCAAACTTTATGATAACCATGACAACATTTGAGAATTGAAAATATTTTGTAAAAAAGGAAAAAATTTAATGAAAAAAAAAACATTTTTTTGTTGTTTTTCTTTTTTGGATCGGAATTTTTTCGGGAAAGTTAAGGTTCCCCAAGAAAAAAATTCCGGTTATTATTGATTGAGTTTTTGTTGTGCTTTTTTTCGGTTATTCAGTCGGTTATTCTGGTCGACCGATTATTATTGTCGATAAGGCCGGTTGAAAAAAGTGACGAACGAAAACTGAGAAATTGTTTTGGAACAATCGATTTTTTTTTCGTCGTCCATCACAATCATTATTGTTCAAATTACGTCATTGTATTCGATTTATAATTTAAATATTTATAAATAGAAAATACTTGTTATTCATCATTATGATAATGATGATGAGAATCGAATTATCGATCTTAATTTTGATTTTTGTTTGTTTTTCTTTCTTTTTGGTTATTAAAAGCTCCTGGATTTCAAATATTATCCTATACTGATGATACAGCAATGACCAAATCAATAGCTCAATCATTAATTGAAATGAAAAAATTTGATCCAAAAGATATTGCAAAACGTTTTGCATTGGAATATAATAAAGAACCTAAACGTGGTTATGGTACAAATGTTGTTGATGTATTTGCAGCATTAATGTTGACCAATTATGAATCACCATATGAACCGGCTAAAAGACAATTTGGTGGTTTTGGTTCCTATGGTATGTATTTTTATTTTCATAATCATCCTCGTCATTGCATAATTTAAAAAAAACAAATTTCATTAAAATTCTCTAAAATTTTCCGGAATTTTAATGAATTTTTTTCAATTTGTTTCTGATTTTAATGAATTTTTTATTTTGTTCCATTTTTTTCAATAGGAAACGGAGGTGCAATGCGTGTTGGTCCATGCGCAATGTATGGCTATAATATGGAATTAAATAAATTATTAGAATTTACACGTGATTGTGCACGTATAACACATTCAAATATTTATGGTTATAATGGTGCAATATTACAATGTTTAGCAATACATCAAGCATTACATTTACATTCAATTATACGTACAATAACAGATATAAATCATTATCTAAATAATTTAATTGAAAAAATGTTACGTATTGAATTGGATTCACAATCAGCATATACAATGATGAATCAACATAATCAACAGAATCATTCAACGATAAGTAATAATCATCATTTGAATTCAACAGCGACGACGAATAATGATAATAATAATCAACAACAGATTAATAATCAAGAAAAAAAATTATTAACACCATTTAGTGATAAATTAAAAAAAGTAAAAGAAATTTTAAATAATGAATTGAAAGGAAATGTTCGTTATTCAATTGATAAAATTATCAATGGCCTTGGTAATGATGTTTCTGCATTCAAATCAGTACCGACAGCAATTTATTTTGCATTAAAAGGACAGATTTCTGGTGGTCGTTTATTAGATTCGTTTGATCATCATCAATCACCAATTGTACGTACATTATATTATTCATTAATGATTGGTGGTGATACTGATACAATTGGTTCAATGGCATGTTCAATATCAGGTGCTTTAAATGGTATTGAATCAATACCGAAAATTTTATTAAAACATTGTGAATCAAGTGATATTATGGAAAAATATGCTGATGATTTATTTCGTTTAGTACGTTCAACTAATTCACCACCATCGTCAACAACGACAACATCGACATCTTCAACTTGACATCAATCAATCAATCAAGCAAAACAATGACAAATTTGAAAATAAACACACACACTAACATTTTATTTTTCATTTTCACGATTTACACACACACACACACACAACACGCTGTTCTAAGAAATAACACAGAGATATACACACCAAGACAAACAGATGAATGAATTCACAATGATTTGAAAATGTTTACATTTTTCAAAACAAAAAAAAATCCAAAATGTGATGTTGATGATGATTCTATGATTCAATAAAAAATGAATTTAAAAAAAAAGAAAAATTTGAATTCTGTTGATGAATGCAATGAATGAAAGATAGATGGCAGCATGTGTTTGTTGTTCTTTTTTTTTGTTTTGTTTTGATGTTTTCGTGGATGTTTTCGATCGGTCGGTCAATCGGTATTTTTGATTTGATTTTCGGTAAAATTGTGGGAAATGATGGAATCAAAATCATTACAAAATGATAATGTTGTTGTCGATGATGATGATGATGATTATATTTGTGATCCATGTGATATGAATAGTACGGATTTTAATCCAGATATCTATATGATCAAGGTAAATTGATTGATTGAACTTTTCGCTTTTGTTGATCATTTCGCTTGTTTTTTTTCCTCGATTGTTTAGATATTGAAAGAAAGTCGCCTGTCCGAACTAATGGATACTGAACAAATGTTATATAAACAAATACAAACACTTGATAGTGAAATGCAAACATTAATCTATGAAAATTATAATAAATTTATTAGCGCTACTGAAACGGTTAAAAAAGTAAGTGAAAAAATAGGTGATTTGACAATTTCTAATGCAAAATTCAAATTAGATGACATCACATTTTGATAAAATGGAATATGAATTAAATTTATTATCAGAAAATATGGATAAAATAACTGGACAAAGTAATGAAATTGGTAAAAATTTAAATGAAAAACGTGAACAAATGATACAAATGTCAACGAAAAATCAACTATTAGAAAAGATACAATTCATTTTGGAATTACCAAATAAAATGAAACAATTGATTGAACAAAATCAATATGATAAAGCATTGGATGATTATCTTGATGCTCGACAATCATTGAATAAATATGCACATTTATCATCATTTAAAAACATTCAAATGGATTGTAATGAAATGCTGGAGCAAATTAAACAATATTTCTATGGACAATTAGCCAATGAAAATCTAACAACAACGCAATTGAATAAAAGTATTGGCTATCTAATTCGGTTGAATGAATGTCCGAAAAATTTATGTGAAAAATATTTTGAAATGTGTGAAAAGAAAATGAATATAATTTTGGATGAAATTCGTAATGAAACAACAACAACTGCGAAATCAACTGATGGTATTGATAATCTGGACATTTTGGAATTTATTGATAATGTTTGTAATCATTATATTGATTCATTGAATGAATGTATAAAATTTTATACGGATTGTTTTGTTGGAAATGAGCTTAGTATTTTGAATGATCAACAGCAAAAAATCAGCAACGATGATATCGAATCAAGATTGAAAATATTCATCGATCGACGAATGAATAATTTATTTGAATTGATTGTTGAGAAAATTCGTTATGAACAACACCGACAACAGCAACAAAAATCGGATAAAATTTCCAATAATAATAATAATGTTATAATGTTTGTACGGGCATTGGATCGATTTTATCGTCGCGTACAGATGATGAATAATTTTTTCGGTTATCCGGATTTTTCCCGTAAAAGTTTATCAATCATTTTTGAATTGACAAAAGATCAATGCAGATATTTAGTTGATGATTTAATGAATAAATTTCAAGATGAATTAACTACTATACGTCATGATATTGTACAAGATATGACTAGAACAACAAATCTAGCTTTAAAACAACAACGATCATCAAATGTCAAACATGATGATGATGATCATCGAAATCAAAATACATTATTATCCGATACGGTTATTGCATTTGAAACATCAATATGTGAAAATCTGAAATCAATTCTTTCAAATCTTAATCCATTTCTATATCCCGAATTAACATTTATGTTGAAAGATTTTAAAGAAAAATTTATTAAACATTTAATATTCGATACGATTGTTATCAAATATTTAGATTATATATTGGAAAATATTGAACAATTTGAACAATCATATCAAACATCACATATACCATCATGTTTCATATTGATTTTATCGAAAATTTGTCGTGATCTAAGCAATTCCATAATACAATATCTATTTAAATATACGAATGAATTATTTTCATCAACAACAGCGAAATTTACGGGTAGTCAAAATTCCGCTGAACCATTAATAAAACGTTCACGTTTAAATGGTGAAAAATTATTGAATGCATATGTTTGGATTGAAGGACAATCAATAACACATATGATTAGGAAAAGTGTTGAAACACGTGATTGGATGAGTACGGTTGAACCAAGATCCGTACGTTCGGTTATGAAACGTATGATTGAAGATATAACCTTGATTGATTTTCTTGTCGGTCAACTATATGAAGAAGGTGTACGCGTAGAACGTAGTTCTGATTCAACAAGTCGTACTTTTTCATCGTTTAGTATCAATAATAATAAATCAACATCACGTTATTCAAAATCAAATTGGTCATATGGATCAAGTTCATTTATTGTTACGGATAATAATAATATTGTATCAAATATACAGAAATTATTTAATGATAAAATTGAAATTTTCGGTACGGTTGAATTTTCCAAACTATCCATTGTAACTGGTATTATAAAAATTGGTTTAAAAACTTTGATTGAATGTGTACGACTGTGTACGTTTAGTCGATATGGTTTTCAACAGATACAGGTTGATTCATATTATTTACAAACACGTTTATGGCGTTTTGCATCCGATGAAAAGTATGTGTGAAAATATTTAAATTTTGAAAAGTTTTTTTTGATTGTCTTTTTTCCTCTCCAATCAGAATCATAATGAATTTAATCGATGATGTTATAATTAGCAGTAAAAAACGTTGTTTGGATCCAGTCGGTATGGAACGAAGTGTAAGTTTTTCATCTTTTTTTGATTGATTTTTTTCCTGATTTTTGCTTTTGTCTATATGCATAGGTCATTGAAAATATTTGTGAAAATCGTTGATTATATGTGGTCATCGTTGTTGATCGATATAAGATTAGCCAAAAATTCTATCCAAATCATTGATTTGTTCAAGATTTTGTTCCTGGAAAAAATTGCTTGATTTAAAACATTTTAATTTTTCTTCATCGCGTTGTTTTTTCGTGATGTTGTTTTTGAAAAAATTCATAATCGATTGTTGTTGTTTACCATCATTATTTTCTTGATCATCATCGTCTTCGTCGTCGTCCCTAAAAAAGAAATTTATTAAACTTTGTTTTTTTACTTTTTTTAAAATAAAAATAAACTTTACCAATTACAACCAACAGCTTTATCATCCATAATTTTTGTTATTGTTGACCAACTAAAACGAACAAATGTTGGAAATCCGAAAATTGGATTAAAAATTTGTTGTAAAAATTCTTTAGTTTTTGGATCACTTGGATAACCCGAACCATAATCATGTTCATTGAATGATAAATTTCGTTCTTGAAATTGCCAATATTTAATTATATAATCACGTAATACTTTTGCACAAATCGATGCAATGGAAACAATTTTATAAAGGGAATCAGCTTTTTTGGCGACGATTATTTTTTTAATATCTGGAAATAATTGTCGTAATTTTTGTTGATATTTTTCCGGTGGACCAACTGTATCCAGATAAACTTCCTGTATTTCAATACCTTTTGATTGAATATTTTGAATTAAATTAATAGCTGAATCATGTGATATAGAATTTAGGTTATATTTTGAACGTTTTAACATTGAATTACTAATATAGATTGGTGAAAGAATTGTTGTTGACCAACCAATATTTGGATCATTATCGATTGTTTCAAACATTTCGGTTCGTTGTTTTTCCGTTAATGTTTTTGAATCTTAATTTTTCAATTTTTGGAAAAAATTTAAAATTTTGAAATACAAAAAATGGTAATGGTAATGATGATTACCTTGATATTTTTCCATTTCAATTTCAGCTCGCATTAATATTGGACAATATGCAGCTGTATAAATCATTGGTCCTATTAGATTATTAGATGTAAAAATGATTAGTTAATCGATTCGTCATCAACATTATTATCATCAGTTTATTTACCTAGAACAGGACCACGACCAGCTTCATCAATACCAACAATAACACCATTACACGTTTGACATGATTGTTTCACGGCTGAATTTAAATGATAAATTTCATTTGGATTATGAAAAAATTCTTTCAATTCAAACATTTTTTGAAAATCTTGCTCGTTGCTCGTTTGTTGTCAAATCGTCAAATATCGAATGTTGAACCAAACATCAAATGACAAAAATAGGCGGGAAACAAATATCAGCCGGCTTGTACATTCGACAAATTTTCAGTCAACAACCATCAGATGGCGCAAGCTGATCCGATTTTCAAAAAAAATTCAAAATCAAAAATCAAAAATCAAAAATCAAAAATCAAAAATGCTAATAATGTCTGAATTTTTTCTAAACATTATAATTACGATCTATAACACACCGATATAATTATCATATCAACCATTGACCACCACCACCACCACATCGATCACTATTCAATGATTTTCTTCTTTTTGTTTTTAGGCCAAATTGATATTCCCCCTTGTTTCAACAACGAAACGAAAAAAAAAATGTTTTCTGATGTGAATTTGATTTTTGGCAAACTTTAACAAGAAGAAAAAGAAATACCAGTGGCTAACAATTAATTTAATCATATATCTGCTGTGTGTGTGTGGTGGTGATTGGCAAGTATAAATGGTAGTTGTTGTTTGATCACCAATATTTTTCGGTGAGAAAAATCAAACGTTGATGATCGTTGTTGTTGTTGTTGAACATCGAGGTCATAATAAAATGTCCACCACCACCACCAATGTGTAGAGAAAACATTTCTTTCAGGCAATATTATTATTATTTTTGTTTTCAAATTAATAATCAAAATGAATTTGATTGATCCAATGATCAATGGATTGACAATAATCGATACAATCCAGGCGACAGGTTTCCAATATGCAGTGAGAAAAATCTGAAAGAAAAATGCAAAAATCAGTAAAAAAAACTTTTAAAATTCTTTATCACACATTTTGTGGATTTTTTGAAAGATTCAAACAAAAACAAAAAATCAAACCAAAATTGGTAATACATCTATTGATTTTTGGCCATAATAATAATAATAAAATGCCCGAAGCTTGACCAGTTCCCACGCTTTAATTTAAATTTTTGCCATCAAACACCACCATTCATTTCATTTAACAAAAAACTACTTGAATTTTTCTTTCTTAATTCACATCAATCGATCGATCGATCGATTGAATATCCTTGACAGCATCCATACAAACATGATAACTTGCTTGGTGTGATTATCATTATCATTACACACATACATACTGAACACAAACACACTAAACACACACTCGTGCAAACCATTGCATGTTCATTATAAAAATGATGATGATAATATTCATGTTTTGAATATTCTAATTATCTCTCTGTGCGAAAAAAAAACTTCTTGACTTCTTGACTTCATCATCTTTTAACAATCTCAAATATCGATCCATATAGAAAGCTTGTTTATTATTTATTACACCAATAATAATAATAATAATTTTTCTCATTTTGATATTTTCGGCTCCCTTAAACTTCAACACAAGTAGTTCATGGAAGAAAAAATGTTAATGTTTTTTTTCCATTCGTTTATCTGCCTCTGTGTAAAAATATTTAGCGTTAATCATAATCATAATGATGGTGATGTTTACTTACTCCGTCTCTATTTGTATACTTTTTAAAAGTGGATTAAAAAAAATGGTAACCAAATATGATCAATAAGAAAAAATCGATCGATCGATCGATCGATTGGAAAATTGCCTTACTTTTCTGTCGTTATAATTATCGTTGTTGTTGTTGCTTGAAGAAAATGCCAATTTTCTTTTCTAATCTATGCATATCATTAATATATAGTTTTTAATGAATTATAAATCCCTAAATCCGATCAATCAATCATTTTTTTTTTCGTTGAATGCTGATGCTTATTCGACTTGTTAATTCAAAATAAGTTTTTTTTTCTTCTTCTTCTTTTTTTTTGGCTGAATTTCTAATTATTAGCCAAATATTTGATGAAGAAAAGAAGAATATCTAAATGGATCCTTTCAGGATAATTACAAGGAGAATTTTCAACTTATTTTGCGTTTTTCTTTCTTAATTAACTAAGAAAAAAAATAATTTGTCGCAAATTTCTTCGATTATCTTCGAGGAAAAAAATTTGAATTTTTGTTGTTGTTGTTGTTGACTCTGAACAACAACAACAACAAATGCAAGGTGGTTATATAATTCTTTTTACCTTTTTTGTTGTTGTTGTTGGTTGGTTGATTGAATTATCTTTTGTCGGAAGAAAAAATTCATCATGTTTTTTATGACTATTATTTTGGAAGATTTTTCCATTTGCTCCCTCTCAAACTGAGAATCAACAAAGAATTTTGTTGTTGTTGTTGTTAATTTAACCTTTAGGTCAAAAACAACAAACAGAGAAATTATTTAAATAAATAAAAGAAAAATCAATTTATCTGAATGGAATGAAATCAATAAAAATTTCACCCAAAAAATAAGCCAGAAGAAAAAAGGTCAATGTCATCATGAAACTAAAAATCATGCTAATTTTAGTCTCTTATTCGTTGATTTGGCCGGTGTTTTAAAGTCAAAAGTTTGGCGGGATTTTATCACCCCCACCATTACCACCACCACCACCCTCGACAGAACAATATCGATAACAACAACATTGTTTCGTGTGGTGGTGGTGCTTTTCAATTTTTTTTTATTATCATCCATTTAGCCATCTAAGGTTGATAAAAAAAAGTTTAAAAGCATTATTTTTCATTCATAAAATAAAAATTAACTTTCCTTACCTGTGAACATTATTGATTGATTGATTTGATTTGATTTTCTACCTGAAATTTCCTCAAAACAAAAATTCTTATTTTTAGACTTTGCACAAAACAAAATCAATCAAACAACAGAAAAACATTATGTAATCATTGTTGTTTACCTGGCTGATTTACCTGTGTAATCAAGACATTTTCTTTTTTCTTTAAATAAAAATCAATTCGGGTTATTTATTGCACTTGAATTTGAATTTCAGTTTTTCATTTGTTTGTTTGTTTGTTTACGATCGAATATTATATAAGCCATATTATCATCAACAACCTATTTGGTCTATGGAAAATCTTTTTTTACTTCTCTGGTCAAGTTTATTGTCGTAAAATTTCAAATCAACAACAACAACAACAACCAGAACAACAACAACAACAAAAATCTTGATAAATCTTCAACAACAACAACAAATTCATGATTCTTTGATGAAAATGTAAATTTAAATTTTTTTCAATAAAAATTTTGGCTGAAAAAAGGAAAAACCGATAAAAATCGGATCAAATTGCCATTATCATTTCCATCATTGAAACACAGAGAAAAAAGATTTGGAAAAGACCTGAATGTTCTTTTTGTTGATCTGATTTTCTTGTTGAATGTTTCATTCATCAAAACTCTGTTGTTGTTGTTGTTGATGTTGTTGATGATAATTCCCGAACGATAATTCCCGAAGGGAAAAAACACTAAAGGAGAGAGATGAAGAAAAATCTCTTAAATCTATCTGCCAGTAAAACAAAGAAAACCAAAAAAAAAATCAGAAGAAAAAAAACATTTGAATGAAATTAAATTGAAAATAGAAATTGAAAAATTTGATGCAAAAGATGCTGGTGCAATATTGCTTTGAACATCAAATCAAATCAATTTTTTATTGATTTAAAAAAAAGTTTGATTCACTATAGTTTGACCTTCAAGATTTCAAAATAAAAAAATTATTTCAGAAGAAAAACCAAAAGAAAATATGTAAAAAGAAATTGATGATTCATTTTTCATTCTTTCAAATGGAATGAAATTGAATGAACAAGACAATCTCTTTTTCCTTTAATCTTTAATCTCTTAAAATCCATCAATGATGAAATTATGATGAAACACAAGACACAAAACAAAACAAAAACAATAAAAACAATAACAATAATAATAACCCAATGAATTATCATCAATATGATTAACATAATTATCATCATCATCAATTTTGATCTAATCATTGATTTTCTTTCAAATCTTTTGTTGCTTATATTGTCTTCATTCAGAGATCAATCTTTTGAATATATTTTCGTTTCATTTCTTTACCCAAAAATTTTGTTTTTTGTTTCTTTGGCACAAAATAGGTGTACCGATCAATGATCATCATCATCACCACCTTGACGATCATATTACCATGATCATCAGGTTTTTGTTTTTGTTTTGTTCATTCAACATTCATTTCATATCAAATATCATAATCAAGAGCGAAAAAAAAACAAATTCGCAATAAACCAATCAACCATTCATATCATCATCATCATTTTTTTCGATGATGATAATGGTGCCATACCTTTCAAAATTTTGTTTTTGTTGTTGTTGTTGTTTTTCCATAATGATTCAGGATGGCCAATTAGCCTATTATATATCGACCATAGATACCAGCAGCAGAAGCCGATAAAAAATCATCGAAAAAAATTCATTTCGAAATAAAAAAAAAACTGTGGTGATGATTATGATGATGATGGTGGCCGGCCTGTTTAAACATCAACAACACACACAAAAAAACATTCACAACACACATCAAACATCAATCAATCTGATCATAGAGAGAAAGAAGATTTCCAAAGAAAAATGAATAGATAATGTTTAAGGTGCGGTACTGTGTTTTGCTATTCGGTTTTTCATTCTTTGTTGTTGATCATAATAATAATCATTGATTTGTTGATGATGATGGCGGTGGTACATTACCTGTGTGTGTGTTACTTGCTGATAATCAACCTTTTTTGTTGTTTAACATTCATTATTTTGTTGTTGTTGTTGTTTTTCTGAATTTAGAAACAAAAAAAAAATAAAAACATTTTTTTAAATGCTGACATTTATGATTAGTTTTACCTTGTTTATTTCATCATTGATGATTTTTTTGATTTGAAGAATTTCTTAAAAGTTGAAAATTTCTTTAAAAAATCGATCACAGATTCAAATTGAACACAGATATTTTTGGAGATGATAATATCAGATTTTGACGTGATGATTATGGTCGATGATACTAAGGTGTGTGTTTGGTTTGATATGATGGCCTTTTATCTCTGGTTGTTGTTGATTTCTTCTTCTTCTTCTTGGTCGGGATTATTCTAATTGATCAATCATTTTTTCAACTGATCAAATAATCATCGAGATTTTTTTCTTCTTGGACCAACAATAATCATTATTCTTTGATGTGTTTATCATCAAGGATCTTTATTTTATTTCTCATTTTAAAAGAAAAAATTACAAAATCAAAATCAAAAAACTTTGAATAAAAGTTTTGTTTACAACCGGTATGAGTCAAAAAAAAAAAAATTCGAATCCATTCGAACAAAACTATCGATATAATCGATAGTCATTACAATCGATTATCATTTTATTATTCGAATCCAAAAAACATTCGAATCAAAACAAACAACATTCCAACTTCCAATTTGTTTGATTAATTCAATTTATAATTCAGAAAACTGAAAAAAAGTCCTTAATGATTATAATTATCAAGTTTTTCGTTAATTTTCTTAAGACTTGAATTTCATTGATACTTTTTTTCGATGTTGTTGTTGGTGATTGTGAACAAACACAAACCACAACAAATTATCGATTTGTACAAATATTCAAACAACTGAAAAAAATGTCGATATTTTTTCTGATTT